AGGTTCCCCTCATCTTGATACCCCTGTGAGGAATGCCGTTTCTAATCCGCCGAGAAAGTATATACAGAGAAGAGAAGTTACGACCCGGAAGGCCTGTGTAAAGCAGTTCGCTGCTTAAACACCAACACAGACGTAGGTCTTGGCCCACATGCTTTGACAGGTCGCACCCACGCCCGTGTTCCACTTGACAAAGTTGGCGAGGGTGATGCCGTTGTAGCTGATGATCTGGTCGCACGTGTTGCCCTCGGACACATAGTGGAACTTCTTGCAGTTGGTCACCATTCCCGGCTGCGTGGGCTGGGGCGTAGTCACGCCGTTGCCGGGGGCCGTGGTGGTGACCGGAGGCTTCGTCGTGGTGGTCGGCGGCGTCACGGCGCCCCCGATGACGCCGACGCACACGTTCACCTCGGCCCACATGCCGCTGCAGTCAGCGCCCACGCCCGTGTTCCACTTGGCGAAGTCGGCGAGGCTGATGCCGTTGTAGCTGAGGACCTGGCTGCAGGTGACGCCCTGGGCAATCCAGTGGAACTTGTTGCAGTTGGTCACCATGCCCGGCTGCGTCGGCTGTGGCGTCTGGATGCCGTTGCCCGGGGTCGTGGTGGTGGTAGTCACGGGTTTGCTGGTGGTTGTCGGCGGCGTCGTGGACGTGGTTCCGCCGATGACGCCGACGCAGACATTGACTTCAGCCCACATGCCCGTACATTCGGCGCCGACGTTGGGGTTCCACTTGGCAAAGTCGGCGAGACTGATGTTCGCGTCGCTGAGGACCTTGCTGCAGGTGACTCCGGACGCGACAAAGTAGAACTTGTTGCAGTTGGACACCATGCCAGGCTGGATCGGTGTAGGAGTGGTCACGCCATTCCCAGGAGTCGTTGTGGTGGTAGAAGCTCTGGTGGTGGTTGTCAACGTCGTGGGAACACCGGGGGCGGTAGTGGAAGGGGGCGCGGGCGCCGCTCCCCAGTTTTGCTCGATGCAGTACGAGTTGCCTGTGATGAAGGTACAGGAGGCAGACAAGATGGGGTTCTGGTGAGGATGAGTGTTAGCAATAGTCGAGTAGCATTGATATCCAGAAAGTTCAACTTGGCTTGATCGACATAATTCTATCTTGATACATGATGCTAGATTGTAGGGGGTAACTTACGTATGCAACAAGCTGAGCCTGAGTGATGCCGTACGTGGCAGTCACTCGCTCGCAGGTATCAGATGCGCCGGCGACAAACCACCAGGTGCAGTCCGTGATGGTGCCCGGATCCGCGGTCGAGGGTGGTGGCTCGGCCCACTGAGCGACAGCGCCGAGGCAAAGCAGCTGCGCAACAAGACTTGACTGGAGCATGAACTTCATCTTGAAACAGGAAGCTTGCTGTCTGGTACGTCTTTGTTCAGCCAAGTCTACTTGATAGTTTCGCTGATGACAAGGGGAAGCTCAATGGATGTAAGATAGACGATGGTACGACATATAAATATTCAACATCATGATAGTAAACTGATTCGGTTTGTCGTTTTCAACCAAAAGTTCCCAGACACCCATACAAGGCTCGATTCAGCGAACGTGACATGATTGCGGTCAATCCTGTGAGGCTCGTACCGTATAGAACTAAACGAATCCGACCAAGACTGCAATTTCCGACTCCTCTCCGGCCAAGGCACAATGCTGACTTCATCTCCGCAACGGCGTGAGATTTCTGTATCTAGCCAGTAAGAGTTGCATTAGGAGCCACAACTTCTAGACAGTTGATCTATAGGATTCTCGCCTACATGCATATATTGGTGGCGACTCAGGGCAGCCGAGGGTCGTCCCTAGGCGAGTTCAGGCTGAAAAGATATTTTGTTCAATACGTTGCATTGCCAAGATAGACTATTTTGGTGGCCATGCGAGGGGTGCTTACGGTTGCATTAGGCTTCCCCTGCCAAGAGGCAGGGATTCATGCACGTAACCGAGGAACCCATCGAACCTGATGAGTACTGGAGTTTCTAGAGTGAAGGAAAATCAGACGTAACTAAGAGACTCTCAATGTATCAACTGACACGGGCCAGAAACGAGCGATAAGTTTGCCGAATAGGGTACATTTCACACACACCAAGTGGGCTCGAATCAAGATCTCTAGATATCTCATACCAAATTCAAGATCACAGAAAGCAGACTCTTCAAGATTCATGGCCAAAACATCTTGATTACACAGATATACGAATATGAAGCTAATGAGTGTCGTGAAATATAAACAGAAACAGTGTCATGCGGGATGACCACCTCTTTCCTGCCAGGTAGTAGAAAGTATAACAACACCAAAGGCCAGACAGTATCTGCCCTAATCCGACTCATGTGATCCAGTTCAGAGAGTCTGGTCAAAGTCTCTGACTGGGTGAAGACAGTACCAAAGTCCAACACGCAAGTACTGCGAGCAGCTTTCGGCATTACGCAAGGAGGGGTTAGCCTTCAGAAACAGGTTGATAGTCACAGCGTTGCCGGCAATGATTGTCGAGCAAGTCGCACCCTCCTGGGCCTGGACATATTGGCCACAAAGATCCGTGGTACCCTGAGCGACTGTGCCAGTAGTAGGGGGATCAACCCTAGTGTCAGCGTAGCCGTCGCCGGAACCACCGGGACCCCCGATGCCTCCGTTGCCCGTGTCAGTTCCGTTACCGGAACCAGGCCCACCGTCTGGAAGTCCGCCGGGCGCGCTGACACAGATTACGTTGCCCCAGTACGGAGGCGAGGTCTTGGAGGACCAGACGTTGGAGCACCGGTCGTTCAGGCCGCCATTCCACTTGATGATGTTCTGCCATGTGGTCGCCTGATCCACCCCAATGGCAACGCAGTCGTCTTTCTCCTTGACCTCATACGTGGTTTCGCAAGTCAGGGGCAGACAGAGCTCCAAACCATTCTGAGGAGCGTCGCAGTCTAGGAGGCTTGGGTTGATGTAATAGAGACTTGCTGCAGACTGAAGTCGAAAGGCTCGTTAGCATCATGCTGCCGCTCATCATCACCATTCCGTCTCGCCATGCTGCACTTACGATGGACTTCGCCTTTGCAATGCTGTTGCAAGTGTCGCCGTTTTGAACAGTGTATTTGACTCCCGTCACGCAGCTATCTGGCACAGTACCATTGGGGCTTATGACGGGTGGTTGGGGGTCTGTAGGTGTAGTAGCCCCTCCACAGTCTGGAAGAGAGCCTTGGTCAGATGCTGGTAGAGAATTTGAATCGTAAGTTGGGCTTGAGCACTTACTTTCGTTGATGTAAAGCAGCCTCTCGGCGTGCAAGCTATCGTAGGCGGAATAGGGCGACCGCTGCATGAGCCGGAGCTTCTCTCCGTAACAGAAGGAGCACAGCTGATCCTTGGGCATATCAGCAAGGTCCTCGACATCATCAAAGGCCTCGATCTTAGCTGCGGCATATTGTGTTAATTAAAGTTCTGGTAGCGTATTAGAAGTTCTCAGAGGCTGCTTTGCCCTATAGCTCACCATTGCAGTATGCGCCGTCGGTATCCTTCAAGCAAGTCTCGTTCCATCCAGAGGTGACGGAGTCGATGAGAGACAGCACCGGATATCCCTGGAACAGCTCGGGCGTGGAAGCGCAAGAGCCCGCGATGCGCCGACGAGCCGTGGACAAGGCAGTCGAACAAGTGGCAGAGCAGACCGTGTCCGTGAAGGCCTTGTCTCCCGGCGTGCCATGATACACCTTCTCGCCGAGGTTGCGGACGTAGACATCGCAGTTGATCGTCTGGTAGAGGACCGACTCGCAGGCGGAAGTGAGACCAAAGCCAGAGAGGGTGCCTTGAGCGGCGAGCTGGAAGCCAGTGGCAGTCTGTCTTTGCGCGAGGGACTGGGGGACACCTCTGGACTCAACAGCAGAAGAGCTCAGGCATAGGGCGAAGAGGGCGCTCGCGAGGCGACGTGAGCTTGAAAAAGACATGACGTCTCGCTGGTGTTGTAACGAGTGACTGTGGGTAGAGACTGGAGTGGATGATGAAAGGACGAGAAGGCCGAACGGCTCTGGTCTGGATACGAGAAGACCAACGTCAAGTCTTCAGTTCAGACCGCGAGTTTCCAACCATACCGCTGACGATATGACTGCAAGTGATTTCAACTGCTCCCTTTCCCCACTCATGTAGTATAATTTTGCGATGCCTAATTTTGTCATCTCTCGTGTCGCCGGCCGGGTCAGGCTTCTATCCAGAGTCCGAGAGGTTGTAAGTGCCGAGAAGGCTGGACCATCAGTCCCTTGGCGAACCGCCCTTGGCAAATTAGACTCCTGAAGTCTGCATGGTAAGACAAGAGGCAATCTTGTGCCTGAAAGCGGCAGGTGAATGTTGAAAATTGAGCACTCGTGATAGAGAGACGATGGTGCCTGCTTGGCGATTCAGCGAAAATGCAAGGAATCGCTTGCAGGATCGTCCCGTGGGACGGCCAGGGCCGCATCGGAAGTGGATGCGGACAGGGATCGGTGATCGGGGACCCGTTGCATTGTGCTTATGCATATTTCTAATTACCATTCCCGTCTCCGCAATTATCGGTCTTATTCCTGATCGAATGGTGAACGCGAGACCGGGTTGATGGTCCTTCGGAACCAAATCACCTTGTAGACTGCAACGTTGTCAGCCCTAGGGCCGATTTGGGTATCCGAGAGAGACATGTCGGCGGAGTCGACAGCAAGGGACTCTCGGAGCCCTCTCCCCATGCGTACATGATCTTCCATTGAGGCAATTTGAACCTGCGTTTCTGCCCCCAAGAGGCAGAGGCAGCAAGACGCGGGGGTCAGGGGCCAGGGACTAGATGTCAGATGGCCTCGGGCCTGCGGTTTAACGGCTCTTGGCTCTCAACCCCGAGTTTTGCCTATGAGATTTGACATGCAACGAGGCGATGGGTCGACTATAGCATCAAAGAGCTTGGTTCGATAGATATCTAAAGTCTGATCGATGCGCAACTCAGCCCGCCATACTTTGGTCTAGTAGGTTATTCTATACTGACACTTCTGTCATTGCTTCTAGCTTGGCTCCTTCATTATGGCCAAATTTCTGCTCATTCTCTTTTCTTTTGTCTCGTTCTTGCAGCTGTCTCTTCAGCAAGCCCCTGAATGTAGCGCCACGCAGCTGTGCCCCATTGGATGTTGTTCCAAGTACGGAGTCTGTGGTACGGGCCCTGATTATTGCGGGTAAGTGGGAGCTTCCTATTTCTGTTTTTTTGTTGCTGGTAGAAAGCTTGCAGACGCTTTGTGAACGCAGTGACTGATGTAATTGGCGTTGTCTAGTACGGATTGTGTCAGTACATGCGACTTCAAGGCAGACTGCAACCCAGGCTGGGATGACCCGAAATGGAGCAAGGCCGAAACATGCCCTCTCAACGTCTGCTGCAGCAAGTTTGGCTTCTGCGGTACTACAAAAGACTTCTGTGGTGACGAGACTGTCAAGGTTGGTTCTCCCCTCTTCAACCCATAGACATTGAATGAGATCTGTCTTCGAACAACGGGCTGATCATTGTCAATCATGCTGAATCTAGCGGCCATCATGCGCCGTCAACGATACCCCCATTACCCGTGTGATCGGCTACTACGAGGCCTGGTCTACGACCAACCGTCCTTGCTACGGTATGCTGCCAGAGGAAATCCCATTCGGATATTACACCGACATCATCTTCTCTTTCGCTACGATCGACCCTAGTACCTTTGAGATCAAGGCTGGCGACTCGCAGACGGCGGATTTCATGCAAAGAATAAGCGCCATCAAACTGATCCAACCGGATATCAAGATTTGGATCGCCGTCGGCGGGTGGGCTTTCAATGACCCCGGCCCAACGCAGTCCACTTTCAGTGACATGGCTGGCTCGACGGACGGCACCAAGAAGTTCATTGACTCTCTCATCAAGCTGATGAACAAGTATGGATTTGACGGCATTGACATTGACTGGTAAGTTGCCAAGCCACAGCACTACAGGATATAATGCTGACCTTGGGGTGTGTAACAGGGAGTATCCAGTTGCCGATGATCGCTTTGGAAAGGGAGCAGACTTCAAGAACTTTGTCACTTTCATGAAGTCTCTGGCCGACAGGATGCACAGCGGTGATCAAAAGAAGTCTGTATCCCTGACTCTGCCGTCGAGTTTCTGGTACCTACAGCACTTTGATATCAAGAACCTCGAGAAGCATGTCGACTGGTTCAACATCATGAGCTACGACATCCACGGATCCTGGGATATTGACAACAAGTGGACCGGCCCTTACGCCAACTCACACACCAACATGACTGAGATCCAAGACGCGCTCGACCTGCTGTGGCGGAACGACATCAAGCCGGAGAAGGTCACCTTCGGCATGTCCTTCTACAGCCGAAGCTTCACGCTCCAGAACGCCGGGTGCAACACCCCCGGATGCGTCGTCAGCTCCGGAGGCAACGCGGGCGAATGTTCCGGCACGACTGGCGTGCTGCTGCACCCCGAGATCGCCGACATCGTAAGCAAGAACAGCCTCACGCCCACGCTGCACCGCGAGGCCGCCGTCAAGTCCGTGACGTGGGGCGACCAGTGGACCACGTTCGACGACCTGGCGACGTGGAGGCTCAAGTCCAACATCATCCGCGGGCAGTGCATCCCGGGCGTCATGGTCTGGGCCATGAGCCAGGATGACAAGGACGGAACCAACATCAAGGCCCTGACGTCCGCCGTCGGCCGCAAGGCCATGGACCCGCCCAAGTTCGTGCCGGCGCTGCCCTCCACCGAGCCGCCCAAGGTCGCGGAGCTGTGCCGGTGGTCGGGCTGCTACCAGGACTGCCCGGCCGGCTTCAAGACGGTGCAGCGCGACGGCCACAAGGAGATCATGCTCAACGGCGAGAACTGCCTCGACGGCGGCGTCGACAAGCTGTGCTGCCCGGCCGACCAGCCGATGCCCACCTGCGAGTGGCGCGGCCACAGGAACAGCGGCGTCTGCAAGCCCGGGTGCGAGGACGGCGAGGTCAAGGTCGGCTCGCTACGCGTCGGCTGCAACTTCTCCCACCAGGCCGCGTGCTGCACCAACGTGGCGGCCACGGCGTCCTACGGGATGTGCAAGTGGGTGGGCGAGGCGCCGACGTGCAACCAGGACTGCCCGTCCGACTACCCGAACAAGATCTTCTCGTCCCGGCTCGCCGCGGGAGGCGAGCAGCCGTGCATTTCGGGCACGAAGCACTACTGCTGCCAGGAGCCCAAGCCGTCGGACTTTTCAAAGTGCGACTGGGTGAAGAAGGGCAGCCCGCCGCGGTTCAGCCAGGACTTCATCTGCGAGGACAGCTGCCCGGCCGGCCAGATCAAGCTGGCGACCGAGGTGGGCGGCATGAACGCCGAGAACGGCTGCTTTGGCGGCGCGAGGGCGTACTGCTGCGAGCCCCCCAAGCCCATCGTCCCGCGCGGCGACGACGACCCCTTTGGAGGGAAGCAAAACAAGGAGTTCCAGCTTCTGCTCGAGGGGTACATGGAGAACCCGACGTGCCCGGCGACCATCCTGAACCCGTCCGAGGGCAACATGTTCGGCAACACGTTCACCAAGCGCGACCTCAAGCGCGAGGCCGCCGAGTACCGGTCTCTGCGCGGCAGGGCCACGGACTGCGAGGAGGACCGGTTCACGAGGATGGTCTTGTTCGGCGCTCTGCTGCTCACGGCGTCCCAGTCGATGCTGGAGCCCCTGAGTCTGGTGTACGATGAGATCTTTGCCGGGGCGTACGATACGGAGCTGCAGTCTGGTAACATCAGGACGTACTACGCGAATCACGAGGGAATGGACCCGAACGCTCTCATGCGATATGTCTTTATGAACCCCATTGATGCCGGGCCCGGGTTGAGGCGGGCGGCGAGGACGGAGACCACGTTCTGTCAGCTCCTTACGGTGGCCAAGCGCGAGGAGAGGGATCTGTCCAGGAATTCCAAGAACGTGAGTGAAGCTCATGTCTGATTTCTCTCCTCGATTTCATGCTAACGTTCACAGATCTCGACGCTTGCGTCCCGCCATATAACCTGGCTCCAAAACATCGGCGCCGGCCGGCCGGATATGTCCACGATCCTCGAGGGCATCCTGAACAACGAGCTCAGCCTGCACTACGCGCGCTGGCAGCACGTCAACGCCCAGGGCGGGCCGATGCTCGAGCTGGCCTACTGGATCGGCGACACGCCCGGCGTCCCGACGGGCTCCGAGCTGAACCGGTTCCGCGATAACTCGGAGGGCAACGAGGAGCGCTTCGTCGTGTTCCACTTCCACGTCAACGAGAGGACCAACTGGATCGCGCACGTCGACGGGCGCACGCGCGTCGGGATCCAGTCGGTGCAGGTGTTCCACGGGTACGACACGGACGCGCAGCCCGGGCAGGCGTGGCGCGTGGAGAACACGGCGTCGACGCGGGACGGGTTCGGGTGTCCCGACGAGGAGCTCTGGTACGTCGGGGCCGAGACGGACCTGCCGAGCGACCAGTTGCCGGCCGATCAGACTTTCTTCGAGAGGTTTCAGCGTTGGAGCAGGATGTTGTTTGACGATGGGTATCTCGCCACGCGGGGGTTGAACTTGATCCTGACGGTGAGTATTCTGTTCCCGAATGCCGGTTTTTGATGGTGAAAAGCTAACATGATGCTAGGGTGGTGCCACGGTCAACAATGGGGGGAATCAAGATCTTGATCCCAACAACGCGGGAATGCTCTTGCGCGGCGGAATGGCTCACCCGGCGTGGGGTGTCATCACGCAGACCGTCAACTTCTTGATTGATGGAACTCAATACGACTTCACCCCTCGAGACCCCTTTGCGTGAGGGCCGAGAACCATGGGTGCTGGCTTGAAATACATGGCGAGTGGAGGATGAAAAGCTTCAAGAGACTCGGGACTTGTTTAACCCTTCTAATTCACTATAGTACTTATTCATTCTACCTAGCGAGGTAAGCGGCCTGTCGATGAAAGGAAAGCATTTCCTTCTTCCTTTACAAACAACAGCATGGCAGGCAAGGGAAAATTGATTGTATCATATCTCATAATTTTTGGAGTTCAGTCTGAGAGCAGTATCTCGAATACATCAGCCTTGATTTCTTTCCAGGAGACTCCCAGGCAGGCGGATACCTCCCAAGCAGTTCAAATCAAGCACTGTCACCGCCAGTCGAGGCTAAATGTGCCGACAAGACGTCTATAACATCCGTCGACTTGCATCTCCTGGCCCATGCGAGCGGCGTAGTGCTGTCCGCTTGGCCCAAATCCTGTGCCGATGGAATAGCCCTCTGAACAAAGTCTCGCATGCGGAAACCCCAGACATCGTGCAGAGTGTTTGAAGTGGTATAAGGGCTCCGAATGACCCTCGATTTGATATCAACGGGGGAGCCGCTCTCGATGAGTCTTCTTGCGAGGCTCGCCACCTCTGCCCTGAGATCTGGATCTTGCGCTGCTGGCCAAGATGCCAAGGCGTGGAGAGCGGTCCATCCCTCGTCCGTCACGACACCAGCGCTGGCGCGATTCTGGAGCAGAAAGTCGGCCGTAGTGCACATATCATGCGTGGTCTTCCCCGCTGTCGGAGATAGGGCGCACAGGAGAGGCGTCCATCCGTTGCTGCTGGCCAGGTTGGCATCCAGGCCGGAGTTCAACAAGAATTCCACCGCGGTTTTCTGGCCCCCTGACGCGGCGTAGTGCAATAACGATTCACCGTGAGAGTTCCGTAGTTGTATGCTCTCCGACTTGGGCGCGCGGCAGTGCGAAAGACAGAGTTGCAGCTGCGGAAAAGTTCCCGTCTTTGCGGCGGCGTGGAGCGGTGTCTCTCCAGCTTCGTCTGCGAGATCAGGAAGCGCGCCGTGCTGAAGAAGAAACTGAAGAGCAGTAGTGTCGGGGAGCTGACGACTGAGTGGGCTGAACACGTAGTGAAGAGCGGTCCTTCCGCGAGCGTCTGCTCGATTGGGGTTCGCTCCCTTCTCCAGGAGACCGCTGAGGCCGCCGATACACTCATGTGAATGTACTGTGGCGTGGATAAGAGGCTGATGGGAACGGGAGTCCTCACCGTTTGGATCTCCGCCTGCGTCGATAAGGCGACCGACCAGCTGACGCTGACGTGTAGCATCTGCAGTGGTTGGCGGTGGTTTGGTTTCGTGTTCGGGGAGAATCATCCTCTTGCTGACCGCCCTGGCCAGAGCATCTTGAATAACCTCGGGGCCGTATGTGACGCCGGGATGAGCCAGAAGAAGTGGCACTGTCTCATCACACCAGGCTGATGCCGCATCAAGCAGCGCCCTACGCATCTCTTGGTCATTCCAACCGTCCCAGGCGCCGAGAAAGTAAGCAGTCAGATCTGCGTGGTTGTTCCTGGCAGCGATTTGTAGACAATCGGGTCCAGGTTGGCCTCTCTTTTTGGGAATGAAGCGTCCGCCAGGGCCGACTCGTTCCCAGAATAGACGAGCCATCTCGAGTCTGCCATGCTGCGAAGCGGCTAAGAGTGGTGTGAAGCCGGGATCCTGTTTGTCTCGCGTATTGGGGTCCACACCAGCATCTATCATCATCTGGACAGCGGCATCGTCTGCTTGGAAGATAGCCCAGTGTAGGGCCCAGCCGATATCATTGTCGGGGTCGATGTCGGGACTCCAGAGTTCCAAGATATGTGCCAAGTATTGTTTGTCTCCTGTCTTGTTTCCGTGTCCCAAGTATGGTTCCACGATTACATAGTAATTGTCTGTAATAGACATGATGTTTGTGAAATTGACGTAAGGAAGCCAAAAGGAACAAAAATGGCCGGAGGGTTGCCTTTTAATAGCTTGGCTTGGGTACCTTAAAGTACCTTAGGAAGAGTGAGTTGTAGTCGCAGTCGCATCCTAGCTCGGCTTACTGCCTAATGTAGAAGCGGGTCGTGTCCCCACGCTTGGCAACTAAGTACCTTACCTCGAAATATCTTTATATCGAATTATGTCCATCTCGATGGGAAGCAGTCAGCATCTTTCTGTCATAGCAAGCTTTCAAAGGAAAATTAATTCAAGTGGTAAGTAAGTACTATATTATCCTTTCACCGTATCTTGATAATTATATCTCGCAAAGAATTCACTTTCTTCGATAACAATGTACCCAGAATGATGTCCATCTCGAATTGAAGGAAGTATATCTCTTGGGGAAAGTCTATAGTAGTTTGGATATGACCACCAGGCTCTTTCCTACCAATAATACCAGTAGCCTTTTTCCAATCGGGGCGTTAGTCATTGGCACTACTTACTTTTGCCTCGGCTGGTATTGGTTGTACCTCACACTTTGTTGCACAAGGTACTTCATACCCATCTACTGCTCAGTACTCAGCCGACATCCCTCAGCTGGCCGCACATTTGCCCTCGTCCACCACTTCCGCACCAAGCATCTGGCAAACGAGCAGACGGGCGTTCAGAGGACGGAGATCGGTCTGAGGGAGGAGTATCTGTACCCGCTTATACGGTCGCGGCCGGCGATACGCTTCCGGTACAGGATGAGGATTCTGGTGTGGCGTGTACGGTGTTTTGCTTCCTTTGGCGGTGCTTGTGGTTCTGGCTGGCGCTGTGGCTGTGAGGAGGAATGGAGGGCTTAGGGGGACGAGGTTATCTAATATCGTCGAGGCGACTAGAGGACCGGGGCCGGATGGGATTGTGAGAGGAGGTCGTGTAGTGAGGGGGAAGGGGTTGGGAAGAGGGTCTAGACTCGGGGCTTGGGTATGGATTGCTCAAGTCGACGGGTGATGATAAGAGCGGATATGGGCATGTGATGTGATGATGCCAGCTGCTGGCCCTTTGTTATGTAGATTTGGATTCGGGTTTCAAGGCAGGGGTGGAACAATCCAGAGATCGCAAGAGATGAAGAGCCAGAGCTGGTGGATTACTCAGATAATATCCTGAAAGCTTCAATGTACTTTATTTTACGCTATTGACTTCCCGACTTCACTTGCTTAATGTCTTTTCATGGTGACGCTATTCCCAGATTTCAGGTTATCGTTCTCTGTGCTATTCATCCACGATACCCATGGCCAAGGTCAATCGTGAACAGCTCCAAAACAAGTACAGAGAGTCGCTGTGATATCAAGCTTTTCAGAACGATGGAAACCTAAATTTTTTAGAAAGCCGTTGTAGGCTCTATTTTTCGACTCATAACTTTCAGAAAAGCCTGCGAAATTCCATCGACACCCTCCGAGTCCATATATAACCTTCAAGATTCTCTCGACTGTCTCTCCACACTTGGATGCGCCGCCACTCTCCATCCCAATACCTCACTGTTTCAAAACAATGGGTCACCGAGCAAACGGCTTCACAGTGAGTTGCGGGAGAGACAAACTCTGGTCGGGATCAAACTTGAGTTGAAATATTTTGGAGAAGAAAAAAAGGGTTCTAGAATTCTGTTCTACAGTTCTCAGAGAAAAATAGGTATCAAAAACAAGAGAATAGAAACAAAACTTCATCTGCCAGGAGACGCCCAATCCATTCCATTAACCATGCCCTGTTCGCAACCTGATTCCCAAAAGAGGGTAACGCAAAGGAAAAAGCGCAAGTCAGGGCTATAAAACTCCGTGCTCGCAATAAACTGTGCTGTCCAGCTTTTTTTTTCAACAGTGTAAACTCCTCTGAAACGCTTCCGCCAGTGTCCGCGACCCAAGCTGCACCAAAAATAAGCAGCCGTCCGAACTACCGGTATGAACAGGGCCCGGAAATATCATACAAGCTCTCTCTCTCTCTCTCTCTCTCTCACTCTCCCTCTCACCGTGACGGGCTAGGATTGGCTAGCCAGTAACTCTCCGCACCCAGAGCGTCGTCGGCTCGTACTCTGCATTGCGATCCATTCTCTTGTAGGCCCTGTGCAACTTGAGGCCTATCTCGTACTCTTCACGTTGAACCTCAGCGAGCTCAACCTTGAGAGCCTCCACCTTGCGCTTCTCGGCTTCGCGTTTTCTAAGGACAGCCTCGCTGGCCAGGATACTGTCGGTCGGCATGAGCTCTGTCATTTGCTTAATGGCCTGGTTGATGTTGATGCGGCGATTGCCCAACGACTCCAACCGAGCGTTGAGGTAGCCCACGCGATCGTTGACCATAGAGAGCTCGGTCGGCGGCGGAGGCAAGGCTTTGCTAGTAGACCAGACCGACTCCGGGCGGCTCGAGTTGCTGTACAGGCTGGCAGAGCTCGTTCTAGGCAGCGGCTGCTTTTGACTGGGCAGCTGGGTTCGGGCAGGCGGCGGCGAAGTGTCCTCAGTGAAGGCGCTCGACATGTAGGGGGACGACATGGAGATGACAATAGGCTGGTCTGGGTTGATGGAAGGGCTGGTTGACTTGAGTACAGGTGGTCTTTTGCGGTTCATTACACCGTCCTTTTGCTGTTGCGGCGGCGTCGGGAGTGAAGGCACCGGAGGCCGATCCGACTCTGCGGATTCGCGAGGGGTATCGGGATCAGCGGAAGTCGCGTAGGTAGTGACGCTGAATCTCGAGGGAGGCTGAGCCCAGGGGTCAGTCGGCTTGGCTGCAGCGGCAGCGGCAGCGGCAGCTTCGCGTTGTGCTGCTGCAGGAGCGCGAGGCGGCGACTTTTCGTGAGTGCTGGCGGGTGCGTGAACAGTCTGCTCAGAGTAGACACTTGAAGAATAGGAGGGCTGCGGAGCGTGAAGCGCATGCGAGTTGGCAGGAGGAGGCTTTCTTCGTATAGCCTTGTCGAGGCCGAGATGTGCATTAGGGGCAGAAGGCAGACCCATCAGGGATGGGGGTTGTCTCTTCGTGACATTGGCGTCATTAGTGGCTTCGGGCGTCGCATGTACGGGCGATTGGACTCCAGCGCCCGAGTTGGGAGGACTGGGATATGCCGACTGTGCGGGTGGAGGGGTGCGAGCGGCGGAGGGAGATGAGGCGGTAGAGGCAGTAGTCAGCTGGCGGGGAGCGTTGAAGACAGTTCTGATGGTGGGCGTCCTCGACCGTGGTGACGTTTCAGATCCAGAGGGGCTGACAGGGGACAGTGGTGAATTGACACCTGCGATGGGCAGCCGAGGCCCAACGGCGGCGCGTCTGGTGCTCTTGGGCGGGATATTGAGAGGTGCTGCAGGCTTCGTGTCACGGACTGGGCTTACGATGGGTGCTCGTCCGCTTGCACCTCGCCATGGTGGGCGCTCATCAATGACATCGGGTGTCGTTGATGACTGAGGCGGCGACTGCGGCTGCTGGGGTTGCTGTTGCTTTGGGCTTCCGCCAACGGGCCTCAACCTTCGCAGACGATCACCAAAGGTTTGCTGCGCCTGTGGTGCGTTCTGCATGGCTCTCATGGCGGCCGGGGACTTGCCGAACTGCGAATTTGAACCAAACTCTTGGGCGTACTCCTGTGGCCTGACTTGACCCGCACGGCCCGTGGTCTGGGACGTGGGTTCGCCCGTCATGTCATCCCACTTGGTCTCGCGCTGGATCCGCAAGCGTTGCTGGGATTTGGTCTCTCGGAGCGTGTGAGCCGCAGCTTCTTGGTTCTTGCGACGTTCTCGGCGCATCATGGGGATGTTTGTCTTTTGCTGAGCTTGGTGATGCTGGTCGTTTTGGCCATGAGCGCCGTTGATATCGAGCTGCGACATGTCCGGGCTCTCGTCCATGGGCGAGACATTGCCGCGGCCCTGCGTGGGGGTTCTGTAGTTGAGACACATGGTTAGTGGGTTGTTGGCTTGCAAGTGAATCACTATCCAAAAAAGCGAGACAAGACAAGACACATTCCACGTGGTTTTTGAGAGCGAAGAATAAGACTTCTCAGACAAACCCAACGTTTTGTGTTGCTCTGCTTGACACTGCGGCTTTTGGTAGGAACGGCTGGATCCGACTTACCCATCTCTGTGAGCTTCCATGTCGGGGGAGCTCGGGGGAGAGATGTCCGCCACGGCGGAGGTGTAGGTGTTTCGGGCAGCCACGTTTGCGAAGTTTGGCGAGATGGGGGAGGTGTAGTTGTCGCCGTCGGAGTAGATGGAGGAAGCAGGGCGCCAGACGCCAGAGGTATCGCGGTGGTTCTTGTAGAGGTTGCGTGGGGGAAGGAGGTCGTCGAGAGTGCTGCGGGAGCGCGGGATGTTAGCAAGAGCGTTTTGGAGAGTGTTCTGCAGGGTATCTTGAAGGGCAGTGAGGCTGCAAGAGAAAGAGGCCGAGATGCCAGCGACGTGGTCGAGGTTGCGGGAAAAGTCGCGATGGGTGAGGAGCATGCGTGAGGACGAGGTTGCTGCCGCCATGGTGAGCCCATGGAACGACTGGCTTTGACGCCAGGAAACCTTGAGAAAGAGCTTCACTTCATCTGGCCAGGCGGAAGGCTCGAGTGGCGGGGTGCGTTCGATTGCGAATATTGGTGGTTTTGGGGGATTTTTGGTTTGAGCTTGAGCTTGAGCTTGGCCGCCGCTTGAGCTTCGTTGAGCTTCGTTGAGGAGGCGCGTGGGAGAAGGGCGCAAAAGTCAATATCGCGACAGGCAGGAACGGGTGTCCAAGCTCCAAGCTGCTCCTTCCGTTGATGTGGTGTGGTAGATCTTTCCATTTCTCTCGCCTTCTCCCTCGCTCTTTTTTGCTCCTGCCTCTTTGCTCTCATCACATTGCATCGTGCATTTTGGGTGGAACATCGTGGATCGTAAGGTGTATTCGGGGAAGGGTAAAGTAAGGTAGAGATGCAAATACTCACTCTTCAGCAACACCACTCTCTTCGAGGGCAAGTTTCTGGATGCCAGCAGTTCGGGGCTGGGTGTCGTTCCTCGGAGTCGCCGCTGTCGAATTCGATCTCGGGTTGTTGTTGTTGTTGTGCTCGATGCCGAGTCCGCCGCGCGGGTTGCGAAAGTTATCGGGCCAGTAGTTCTGATGGTGCAATGTGCTCGTGGAGCTGTGCTGGGTCTCGCGGCGGAGCCTGTTGTAGTTGGCAATGGTGTCTCGACTTCGAGATGCTGCTCCAGAGGTGGGAGCTGGTGGTGGCCCTCCTCCTCTTTGTCCGGGGACCTGATACTGATATGGCTGGACGGGTTGGTACTGCTGGTGATGTTGGCCGGCGCTTCCTCCTCCTCGTAGATGCACCCTGATTTGTTGTGTAGTGGTTGTTGTCGTGGAAGTTGACGTGTGGTGTTGGTGTTGTGGCTGCTGCTGCTGCTGCTGGGATGTTGAAGTGGATGATTGGCGGTGGTAGGGATGAGCTCCAAGGTGTCCTTGGTGTCCTTGGTGTCCTTCCAGGTCGCGTTCGCGCGTGACAGAGCCAGTGACGGTGACAGAACCAGACTTGAGAAGATTCCTCTCGCGTAGCTGCGGCGGCGGCGTCAACTTCTTTTGAGGGCTGCCCGTCGTTTTCAGGCTGTTCGTCCGACGGCCAATTGCACCACCAGCGCCATTCATAGCACCAACACCACCACCGCCGTTGGTACCTGACCGGGACCTTGATAGGGCGTCGGTCCCCGGACCCACCCTGCCCTCTAATTGCAGGCCCGTTATAGCGGTTGGCCCCGCCCCCGCTCCACCGCGACCTTCACCTGAAGAGGCGTCCCACATCTTTCTCTCTTTTGTCGCTTCTCTCTCTTTTTACAGAGTACTTTCTCGCTTGGGGTGCCTTTCGAAGGTGCTCGCCTCCTTACCTAAGACGCTTCTTTCTTAGGTCAGCTTTTCTTAGCACCCAGCTGTTAAGTGCTAAGAAAGGCAAAAGTGACAGCCGGCGGCGATCAAGCACCCGCAGACGCCGCAAGTGCAATTTCCCTCCAGGGGTCGCCCGTCTCTCCACTCGCTTCTTTCTCTCTCAAATCCTCTTCCAAGAACCCAGCACTCACAGACTGCTCAAGAGATTGCAACCCCACCAATCGCGGTGCAAAGAAGTGGCTTGAATGCGATGCGACGCGGACCAAACTCTTTCCTTTTCGCTTGGAGAGTTGGCGAAACACCCTCGGCTCGATGACTTTGTCGTGTGCTCGCAGTCGACTCGATTGTCGCAGCGGTCCGTGGTCGAGGCGATGCTGCTTGCTATTGTTGCTGCTGACACTGCTGCTTTAGTTGCACCGTTTCGAAAGACGGGGGAAAGCAAAGCGAATGCTGCTTACACCTGAATCCTTCTCAAAAGAGAACCTCCAAAGGCTTGCAAGGGAACTGGACACAAAGATGTTAAATATCCCTTCCTTCGGCGACCGAAAAGAGACTCCCGGACCTCTCTCGACTCAACAAACTCCCACTGAGAAACACGCCAGACGCAGGAAAAAGGAACCAGACCGAGCAGTCAATGACAGTCCGCCGCGCCTCTCGTCCCTTGTCCCTCTCTTACAGCGTCGCTGTCGTCCGCGCTTCACAACTTCAGTCTGATGTTTCGGATCTGCTCCCGAATAGGATCTCCTTGGATATGCTTATCGACCTCTTCTTTTCGCATGAATTTGTCTTTTGGTTTTCCCTTTCGGCTCGCCTGGGAAGAGAAGTGGAGGCGTCTTTCTCTTCTCGTTTCGAACGCTGTGACCGGGAATGGGCTCGAGTGTGCACCACTTGGATGTTGGCGGTATCCTGGACCTGGGACCTGGATCTTGTTGCTTCCTTTTCGACGACAATGAACAATTCCAGGTTTCTTTCTTTCAGTCTTCCATGGATGCCAGCGTCGATAGCATATGATTCGAATAAAAACGCGAAGTTGCCGGCTCGCTCGCAAGTCGTGTTCGAATTCGGCGGGGCGGGTATAATGCAGCGGAGTCCGATGAGATCTCTCCCCAGTTCCGATATACTTTCCTCGATGCCGGCGGGGACTCGGGATCAACGACAACAAGATGCTGGCTCAAAGCTATCGTCAAGCAACGAATCAACTGCTAGTTGTGTTTCCAGCGGATGATATCTGGGAACAGAAACTCTGGACTAATCAACACGTCCAAAGCCAGGCCGTCGCAGAGGCCAAGTGCCGTTCCTCGTTTCGTGACTCGGGATGATGGGCGTGGTGGTGGGGAGAGAATCGGAAGCACAGGCTGGCTGGCTGAAAAGGGTAATTCACAAACAAAACGTTGCTGGACCCCACGAACAACGACCTCAAGAAAAGGACCAAAGCAAATCTGCCTTGGAGTCAAGAAATGACAACAAAAAAAACAAGTGGTCGACAAAAACTGAGGAACCAGACGAGAGGGAGAAGAAGAAAAGAGGAGAGCAAGAAACAAAACGAGAAAACAAGAAACATCCAAGGGCTTAAGAGTCGAGACCACAGAATTCAACGCAAATCCCCAAGATGAATCACAGACGAAGTGAGGGAGCTACACTACTCTCCATCATCTCCACATGGGAAAACCACAGAACCCGGCACTTACCACTCGTCCCGCGGAAGATCACCAAAGAACGGACCCGGTACCTTACATGCAAGCCTTTGGGGCCAAGTTTACCATGCACCTTGGGCGGGATAGGGTCTCATCGGGCGTCCGTCTGGCACCACACATCCCCTCTCCTCACATCCATGATCCAGCCCGGCCGCTGTCCCAGGGCCCAGACACGGACGGGGAACATCGAACGCCAGTCACTGTCGTCAGACTTTAGCAGGCTGTCCATCTGCCAGACGGACAGAGAGACAATAGACAACCAGGGAAGACATCAGTCAAGCAGGAGCTAGAGCCTTCCTCGAGTCCCCCCGCCCAGGGGTCCGTCCGCCACTGCTCCTATGGAAGTCTCAGCCATCGGACGACGGGCCAACGCCTCAGCCAAATGACGGGGCTTGCTCCCGAGCTTCATCCCCGACGACGTTCAGACATGGACCTCTCTCTATTGCCATACTTACACAGGAGGTATCCGTAAGTATTTGCTTGGATGTGCTAAGAGAGTGCGAACCGCTGAGCCTGAACCTAGGCCGCAGCATGCAGGACGCGGGAGGCAACATGCAGGCACCGCAGTGCAGCACTTCAGTCCAAGTACCCTCGGCGAATAACACCCCCAAGCCAACGAACATCTCACACAGCGTGCAAGCCGACACTAGGACATCTCTTGGAGGGGTCCAGGGCCCGGGGAGCAAGTGAGGTGCTGTCCCGGGCTAGCGAACGCCAAACTTCAAAGTACCCTTCCCGGCCGGTGCTTCATTGGATGGTACCGCGCCGTGTGCGGCCCCGCGTGCCCCCCTCCATTTTACCGACTTGTGGTGGTGACTTGTAACCCAGTCGATGGTCCTTGGTGACGGGATGTTCATTACAGCGCCCAACGGACTGCATGCGAGGTGATGGGTTGGGTTTTGAGTACGGACCTGCGTCCTGTCGATGAACATGTCTGTGAAGAACTCACTACACGAGTTCGTCTCTTGGCCTGGTGACACGACGTTGATGGTCCCCTGGCTCACGCAGGAACGGAGCAAGACGAAGCGTGAGGATCAGATTCTTCACTTCGATAGCATCTCATGCCCGTTGGAAATGTTTCATCGTTTCACAAAATAAACATCTCACTTTCATCAAAATTCAAATCCCACCCACAGTCCCCCCTCCAATCCAACACCAGTGTCACACCCACTAATCTGAGCCCACCTCATCCCCTCCGCCCATCAGAGCTTGTCATTTACAGTGTACTTTCGTAGATCGGGAGGTCTCGACTCACTCTCTCACTCACTCATTCATCAGCGCCGGGCGGCAGTCTTGAGTGGCGCAAACCGGCGTACCGCCCCCCCATCTCATTCAATCTCATTATCTGTACAAAACCTCGCGTGCCAACGAACCATTCCGAAGCGCCACTTTAATCACATAATTTCCAGGGACCGTTCCTGCGTTTCACATTGACCACCTTCTCTCTCCTCCCGATGGCCCCCCCAAAATCCTTAATCCTTCATCTGATTTTACCCACTCGATTTTGAGAGAGGCTTCTCAGCCAGTGATGGTTCTCATCGCGTCGATTGTCACGACTCACAGACAGGCCCGGTCATGCATTGAAAGAGCACATGGCGAATGAATGAGTGAAGGTAATCAAGTGAGACGAGATCTCAAATGATTGCGATGAGGCCAGCAAGTAATACTGCTCACGAGCTACCTTCCTAATTCAACGCTCATAAACAGTCTCATTGTGTTGCACATTACACTCGGGACGCCCGGCCCTCGTTGATGAAATGAACCGACGACCCCTGGAACTCAAATCGACACGCGCAATCTCGTACAGTGCGAGGCGAGCAGTGTGAACCCTGCGCTTTGGACGAGGGACGGAGTATTCGTACATCTCACTGATCTCGGCCGACCATGGGCGACATAGTTGAGCTGACCCGACCATGAAGTTGAGCTGACCTGGCCATGGATGACGGACCTGACCCGACGTATCCACAGTCGAATTCCTGTACAGGCTCAATGGTCGGGTCAGGTCAGGTCAGCTTTAGTCTGTACTCTCACTCGGCCATTGGCCCAATGCCTGCACAGGCCCGTGTTTTTGAGCTGAGCTGAGCTATTGTCCTTGAACTGACCTGACGTGAGTTGAGCTGAGCTGACCTAGCCCGGCCATAACATCTACGTCTGCCTATGGAGCATACCTCAGGTCAGGTCAAGTCAAGTCTCCAGTCCGCCAGTGACAGTCCACCCTTGCTCTTCAGTGATTACTTCAGCTGGCCCGACCACATTGAGGCTTGACCTGACCTGAGGTATGCTCCACACGCAAAGAAGTTTCGAACTTCTGGTCAGGTCAGCTCAACTCGGGCACGTCAGGTCAGGTCAAGTTCAGCCTCCAGTCCTCCAATAAGAACCAGCCATTATTACCCAGGCACCTCTTTGGATTGACTTGGTCAGAGAGTTGACCTGACCCTACCACGACGTATTTGTTTGCGTGTGGAGTGCACGTCAGGTTAGGTCAAGCCCAGCCGCCAATTCTTCAAAGACAACCAACCAGACATCGTCCGCCAATGGGCACTTAAGCTGGCCTGCCCCCGTTGAAAGTTGAACTGACCTGACGTGCTCAACTTGAGCTGACCTGAGTCCCTGACCAGAACATCACTGCATGTGGAGCATACCTCAGGTCAGGCCAAGTCCAGTTGCCAGTCCGCCATTGCTCGCCAACGTATTCTTCAGTTGGCCCGGCCATATCGAGACCTGACCTGACGTATGCTCCACTTCAGAGTTGTTCTGAACTTCTGCTCAGGTCAGCTCAACTCGGGGCGGGCACGTCAGGTCAAGTGTATCTAGCCTCCAGTCCTCCAATGAGTATCGGCCGTTGCTCGCTCACGAATCCCCTAGCTGGCCCTGACCACACTGAGAGTTGACCTGACCTGACCAGAAGTTCAGAACAACTCTGAAGTGGAGCATACGTCAGGTCAGGTCAACCTTGACTCCCCAGTCGCTCACTCGTAATTTGCCATTGCCCGGGTGCTTACGTGACTTGACCTAGCGAGACAGTGAACCTGACCTGAGGTGAGTTGAGCTGAGCATACCATCTTTGGTTTGCGCATGGAGCATACCTCAGGTCAAGTCCAGCCTCCGTCCTTCAACGCTCCAATGGCAGCCAGCCCTTGCTCGTCAACGAACAGCTTTAGCTAGCCCAAGCGCATTGCATACAGTTCTGCGTATCCGTACTTGACCTGACCTGACCAGAACATCTCTCATGTTGCATGTGGAGCACACGTCAGGTGAGGTCGAGTTTGGTCTCAAGTCGTCCACTCACAAGCTGTCATTGCTCGGGTGCTTACTTGACTTGACTTAGCCAGCGAGTTGACCTGACCCGACCACAACATCTTTGTACATGGAGCATACCTCAGGTCAGGTCGAATTCAGCATCCAGTCATTGCCTACCAACGAGATACCGCTACTTTGGGTGCCCTGCCCCCATTCACACTTGAGCTGACCTGACCAGAACACGTCTGCGTATGGAGCATACGTCAGGTCAGGTCAAGTCTCACCTCCCCTCCAATACTCACAGATGGTTTGATTGTGGATACGTCAGGTCAGGTCGACCTCAAGCTTGCCTCCTCCAACAACAATCGCCCATTACTTTGACACTCACTTGACTTGACCTGACCCGACCATGATCCTTAAAGCTTTGACTACACACGTCAGGTCAGGTCAAGTCAGGAAGAGAAGCAATGATCGGCTCAACTAACTCCTCCTCCTCCTCCTCGTCTACCACCATACAAAGATTGATGCGCTTCAAACCTCGTCAATGGCCCCAAATCCCCCATTCCAAAGACTTCATCGGAAAGCGCGAGCATCCTTCCTCTCCCCCAGATAACCTGGGAATCACATTCTGCCCAAGCAGGCCCTCCACGCTACGCGACGCGCCTCCAGCCACTCGAACCAAGTTCTCACTATGTACGCTCAGAGCCTGCAAACATCAGGTATCCCAGAGACCATAACCGCAAACCGCACCGCACCCTGCAATGCACTGCACCGCGCGCCGCAGTCAGCAGTCGACATACGGCAGCATCGTTAGTAGCTGCCATACTCGGTGAAGTGAAACCTCAATCCGTCCATGCATTCAGTCCAAGCTCCCTCTCTCCCGTCCCCCAACTTCCTCCCCGACACGGATACCCAACTCGTCTCTTGACAAGTCCAAGTCTTGACACGCCATGACAATGGCACCCGTCTGATCACGCACAGCACGGGGGGTACGGGTTGCAGCACGCACCACCCGTCACCTGTCATCACATCACGGCGTCCTTCACCTCGGTCAAGCCAATTTGCGTCCGCAGCTTTCTATCTGCAGCGCTCGAGACCTGGCATGGATGCACCTCATCACAAATAGACATAACATAGCAACAGGTGACATGTTTTCGCCCTGCACCCCTAAAGCTTTCTGCCATATAACCTATGAAATCAACTCCCCATGGGCTCATTTAAACTTTTTCCGTTATCATCATCTGCAGCTCCTCGGAGCAATATTCCAAACAAAACAGCCACCGAAGACTCCCCCCAATGGCTGACCCTCCGAGTGCGAGTTCAGGTATTTGCACATCTGCCAAATAAGATGTAAGGGGGCATAGACCATGAGTCGTTGCGCCCATGCGGCAGCACATGAATTACATTAAGGCACGTCTTCAATGCCGACCCTGCATGAGTGTCGATCACACGTCTCCGAGCCACATCACATTCAAAAGAGGGACAAGCATTCAAGCATATGTTTGTGATCGCTGTCTTTATTTGCTATTAACATTGAAATGTCGACCTTGCAGGGATTCAACCCGGGCCGTCTGGACCCTTGTGCTTCAATGACCCCTTCGCAGCCTTTTGAGGACTTTTGCAGACCAAAGATGATGCGACTCCGGGGCTTCCAGCCACGAACCTGTTGGATGAAAAGTAAAATCTTGCGTGCAGGTGTCTAAAAGAATCTCAAAAATTGCCATCGCTGATGCCTTAACGCCTTCTGACTATGTCCCGATGCCTGTACCGAAAATGAGAAACCTGGGGGTATCCGAGCTGTGTCGATCCGGGAAATGTAGCTGGATGCTTGCGTCCAGATAATGCAAATACTCCCTCTTCTTCTCTCAGCGGTAGTCCTCTGCCGGAAATCAAGAGGTTGCAAAATCGTCGCAAACAATGCTGATGTAAAAAAGACGGCAAAAACGAAAGACGTAGCTAGTGATGCGCTCAGTCTTCTTCGTCAGAGCTGGAATCTGATTCGGAGGAACTCTCAACGTCGTCCAGGTCAATAGGGGCTCCAGCATCACCCCCCACTTGCTTGAGAAGCTGCAAGGCCGTCATACCGCCATTAGACGATGGCTTCGACGGCGTTGTCTCCATCGCGCTTTCGTCAGGAGGGGCAGACCCAACCTTCTTCGACGGGCTTGGGACGTGCACCCCGACTCTATAGTTGCCTTGATGGTATGTTGACGGCGGCGGCCGGCTCGCCACCGGCTGTGCGGATGTAGGCGGCTGTGACATGCTCATACTCGCCGTCGGATCCTGTGTTGCGGCCGTCGCGTTGGACCCGTTGAGGCCGTTGGCCATGTCCGTTACCGCGACGGTCTGGATCGGTGTAAGGTCCCGCGGAGTCTGCGTCGCCGACGCATCACCATTTCCATTGAGGCGAACTCGCTTGTCGGCATGGCCTTCCTTACTCGGCGTGGGAATCGTGCGAGGTACACCATCAGGCATGCCCATACGCTGGCGTTCCAATTCCATCTCCTCGCGATTACGTCGCTGACGCAGCTTGATGCCGTACTTCTTGCGGATCGTAGACTGCTTGCATGCGTACGAGTTCTTGAATCCCGCCAGCTTCTTCTGCAGTTCATCCGGGTCACCACCGGCTTTCTGCGCAGCGTCGATTTTCATCTTGAATCCTTCTTCAGCTAATTGTAACTCGGCCTTCAGCGCCTCAATTTGATGTACTGTGAGATGGGCCATATCCTTGGGCTGAGGGGTGCCCAAGGGAGCATTCGAGAGATCAACCGCTTGAGAGCTGGAAGGAGCGCGAGGTGTCTGGGTGTTCGAGTATGCCGGGCTGTTGCTACCGGAGGCGACGTACATGGGGGCGCTATCCGGAGCTGGCCGTTTGACAGACAGGTTGAGAACTGGCGGCGGCAGGGACGCCTTCGGAATCGAGGAAATATCATCCTTGATGACTTCGCCAAAGTCGCCACACACCTTGTTCATCATGTGGTACTGCAAACCAGCCATGCCGCCGAATCTTTGCGCGCAGTGAGGGCACATGTACGCCTCACTAGTCGATCTTGACAGCGGAGACGTCTTAACACAGATCTTCTTCTTGACGTGCTATTGACGGTTAGCTTGGCCATCGTCACCAATCAGACCTTTACTTACATGTTGGTAGGCCGATACCCCTGGGAAAGTGCGGTGGCAGTAAAGGCATTGCGGGTTGGCAGGATCCGCTGGCTCTAGGGGTTGCACAGGGAACTCTGGCTTTTGGTTGACACTCTTGAAGGAGTTCGTACGCGCGAGGGCAACTTGATGTTGTTGTTGTAACTGCTGGTGCTGCTGTTGCTGTTGCTGTAGGTGCTGTTGTTGTTGGGCCGGAGCCGCAGGAGTATTTCCAGGCAAAGAGGGGATGACATGCTCATTCTCGACAATATCCGCAGCATCGTATCCGAGCCTCTCCGCTCGCGCCAGGGCATTAACAAGTCGACGTGCCTGGATGGTGGGCAGACGAGCTACAAGAGCTCTGTCAAGGAACATGTCGGAGGCCTTGGCGAGAATCTTATCCGCCACCTCATCAATGTCAGCCGTGGTCATGGCATTGATAAGCTCATGCTTGCCGGCCTCTAAGAACCTTGCACCATAGTCCCTGACGGCTCTCTGGAAGATTCCCATGTCGGCTTGATGCATGGTAACGTTCATCTATCCGGCAGTCAGTCATTGGTGATTCGTCAAGAGCCTCAGCCTCTCCTTCCCACAACGTGTGATACCCGCGACGGATACTTACTAGAAAAGCTAGGTGATAGTGTGAACCAAACAAACACTTTGGATGGTTGTCCCGAATGGCCCGTCTGACTGCATCCGGGTCTGATTCTTGAATCGCAGCGGAGAGCCGAGCATAGTCGTCGTGGAATCTCTTATTTTTGTCCACGTTACTCGTATGTTGAGCTGACGCTGACTGAGTTTCTTGCTGAATATCAGAGGTGACGACCGGAACAACAGGCGACTTGACTCCATTCGCAGCAGCACCTGGTACAGTAACAGGCACCGGGGTTTGCTTGGGAGCCGCAACTGGTTGCGACGGCGGAGGGAAAGCGGGAGAATGTGATGCGGACTGGCGAACTGGACCATGGCCGTATGCGCCGCTATTGGGCATAGGCGGCTGCTGCATCATTGGTGATGCCATCTTTGAACAGCCGCTTGCTGGATCTGTAGAAAGTGACTCTATAACCAAGCCAAATGGAAGATGCTCTTCGGGAAGCCAAGTGCACTGGTTGAAGAAGGAACGACTCTAAGTTGAATGAGACCTTCGTCCATGGACCTTGATTGGTCAGGTGCAATCTGTCTGTGTGTTAGTAACAGTCAAAAAGTGCGCAAAGAAGAAGCTGCTCACGATCCACGAGTTGACGCGTCAATCTTTCGTCAAACGCGTTCTTTGACGTCGATCTCGACTTCGCGACCTTGATCGTGGGTGATGGTCGTCGTCCTCAAAGTGCCGTTCAGCTCAATCAAGTGGGCAGACGTGGGTGGAGCACGGATTCGTTAAGTAAAGGGTGGAAAAAAAGAGGAAAAGTTAGGGCGGAGGAGGGGCCACGTCTTGATTAGTAGAAAAAGTTGATTAGCGTAACTTTTTAAGAAGGAGGGGGGCCTAGGACCGCTATAAGTGATAGCTAGGGAAGGTGCTATATCTTGCTATAGCGTTTTTGGCAGGAAAGACCCGCTCTTGCCCCCTTAGATCTGGTTTGATTGGTTGCACTTTCCGTTTGCTCTATAATGACATGAGAATCTGTCACACATTCGCAACTGCCCCAAGATACATACAAGACGCTTGGACTCGATGCACCCAATCAGAGCATTCGGAGCAGAAGTCGCCGTTAAATTGGAGCAATTACTGCAGAAAAAGTAACATTTTTAGCCCATTTATTAATAAGTCGCAATAAATTCTCTCCATATTTTGTCACCACCTTGTGATTAGCGCATGATTCGTATTATTTCGGTCACAGTAAGGTAACGAGCAGCGAGACTGGGTCATTTGAACAACGCCAAAGCATCGCAATGTTGACACCTAGGTGGGAGCGAGTTTGTCGCGAGAAGAATCATATGAATGCAACAGCGTCATTGGCGTCGAGGACAAAGATCAAGGCATTGTGTCACCACCCAGAGCACCTTGAAAGAGCTGTTGTGTTGCAAATCCAGGACAGAGTCCAGAATGTCATTACGGTAAACTACTGATAACCATACCGAGTACCCGTCCGATTACCTCTGCTCTTCGCGAGCTCCGTCGTTATAGGCGCCTACGGCCTCCCAGTCCATTCATTCATCCATCCATCGTTCCCGGCCATTATCTCATGAGAAGTCCGTCCCAGCCCAGGGGTATCATTCGGTCTCGCACTCCACGCCCGCGTTGTCGCTGCTTAAATGTTCTCGCCAATACACGCCAACATCAGCCTCTGGTAATCGCCGCTCGTCTCGCCCCTGATCCTGCTCGCCAAGCTGCGGTTGTATCTTGCTTGGTACGCGCCCTTGACGTTGGCGAGGGTGTTCTTGTCCCAGTGGTATCGCACCACGCGCGCTACGAGCAGATGGTCCTTGGTTCCAAGCCCAGCCATGGAGTCTTCCAGGAGCTTGGCGGCGTGCATGTACTTGTCGACTGCGTTGCGAAGCTGGAAAAGAAGGGCGTCCTCCATGTGTCCAGAGAACTCCTATCGCGCAAAGTTAGTATCGGGTATGATATGCGCATCCAATGGGGCCGGCTTACCTTCTTGATAACTTCCTCAAGCTTCCTCCTGAACTTTTGCTCATAGGCTTGGTTGATGGCGCGGATCTGGTTGTCGTTGCGGGTGCTCAGGATGCTGCAAACAAGCATCTCATCCGTGCCGACCTTGCCTTCGGTGGCCTTGTACAGCTCCATGACATCCGAGTCGACCTGTTGCGGCACGACGGGCGCAGAGTCCTCTGCTCTGTTGGCACCCAGGACGATGAGGAAATGCCTCTCTGTCTTCATGCTGAGGTCGCCCTTTACGTCGTCCTCCAGGCGCCTCTTGAACGTTTGCTGGTATGCGCTCTTGATGGCCTGCATATCCGCGTTTGACCGGCCGAGGAGAACATCATTCAGAACACTCTCCTTTGTGCCAACCCCGTCCATTGCCTCGTACAAGTTATAGATGTCGCAGCGGAGAGGGCCGCGGGCGACAGACACCAAGCCCTTCTGGAACCAACTACTTGTCTCCTTTTTGATATCCTGCTCGAGATCACGCCTGAAGTTCCTGTTGAATGCCGTTCTGATGGCATCGATCTGCAGAGGATCCTTTGTTGCCAGACAGCGGATGAGAGTCTTCTCGTCGGTACCAAACCCCTTCATTGCGTTGCGCGCTGTTGTCGCGTCAGGAGTGGCATCCCATTGGATGATCTGGGGAGCGCCGTATCCCAAAGACGCCGGCGTCGGGGGTCCGTAGTGCTGAGGCGGGGGAGCGCCATACGACTGGCTGGGTGGCGGTGCCCCGTAGCCACCGGGCGCGGGAGAGTGTCCGCCATATGGCGAGGGAGGAATCGGGGGAGGTGCGCCGTATGCGCCGCCCTGAGGCGGATACTGGCCCGGCGGAGGACCTTGGGGCGGGGGGTAGTGTCCGCCTTGCGGGGGGTATTGGCCCGGAGGAGGTTGTTGGTAGTAGCCACCCTGTTGAGGAGGTGCACCATATTGGCCGGGGGGAGGGCCTTGAGGAGGAGGATAATGTCCTCCTTGCGGAGGATACGGTGATCCGCCGTAACCTCCCTGTTGAGGGGGCGGGTACTGCTGGCCGTAGCCCTGGCCGTGAGGCTCTGAATTGGTGTCAGGATCTAAACAACAACCATAGGAGAATCGCAGAGATGCGGAATGCAACTTACGGGCACCGTAGCCGTATTGGCCTGGATAGGACATTGAAGCCTGGAATGCGACGCGCAGAGTTCGATCGGTTGACGATGCCGGGAGAATCGGGGGCGCGCTTGCGTCAGAATTCAAGAGGGGGCGGGGTGACTGGATGTTAGGTGAATGTGAACTGTGTATTCGTACGGAGTAGGTGTTGTAGAAGACTGCGGGGCAGCACAAGGTGACGAGATGCAAGGAGACGGAAAGTCGGATGAGAGAATCGTAGATGGGACTGGGCGGCGTAGCTTATTTTAAAGCTTACATGCGGCGGACGGACAAGACGGGGTCTCAAGAGGCAAGCGAGGTGACGGCGACGAGACCGGTGTGTGGCTGTGAGTCTTTTGCTGAGGCAAGAATTGCGTGTTTGGGCCCTGTGCCGGTGCTGAGAGGGGGAAGCTGGAGGTGATCCTTTCCGGCCGTCACCTGCTTTCTGTTGGTGGTAAGAGCTTGAGCGAGCTAAGGTGGTAAATCGAATCCGACGAATCGATCCGTACGCGGAGCTTTCTCCCAGCAGCCAGCAGCAGAAAAGCCAAAGTCATTGGGCTGCGAGACGGTCTGCCCAGGCTGGTGTGGTGGCTTAGTAGGCACGCGCCCAGCAAAGAAGCTCAACGTCATCCACCTGGAAGATTCAACACGACTTCTGGGCGGCGCGGGCAGTGCGATGAGGTCCACAGAAAGCGAGCAGAAGGTCCAAATGTTTCCATCCTCCAAGGCGCCAACCCTGTTGAGCTGCTGTCAGCGCCACAGAGATGCGTAATCGAGGTAGCACTGCCAAATGTCTCGCGTTCCTGTGCACCATTGCTGCAGCCCGATGACAGGGTGTAGTGGGGTATGTTCACTGTTCACTTCATGATGAATGAGGAATTGAGTCGAGGTAGAAAGCGATTGTTCTAGATGCTGTAGACCTTGAATGAGTTAGTATGAATATCCGAAGCTGAAGAGTAATGATAGAGCAAACAAACGCGCAAGGTGTGATCGACGACGACCCTGCTGCCCTACGAGATGACATGCACGCTGGGGGCCAGAGCTCCCTTGCCCATGCACGACTTTGGCGAGTGTTTCTTGTGAAGAAGCTTGGGAGGTGGACCGGGCAGACAGAAGCGCCTGCGGTGCAGCGGTGGGAGCGGAGCGGAGAGTCGAGGAGAAGGGTTCGTCTGGAGGAGGAAGAGGACGACGCAGGGGCAAGCCACAGGCCAAGGCTCCGATGCATGAGCCACCTTCGAGCTGTGGTTCCAGCTGCACCGCCACTTGCTGACAGATCTCGGCCTTTCCGGCATCAGGTGGCTTGTGGCACTCGTGGCTGGTGGCTGGTGGGTGTTCCTTGGTGGCTAGTGACACTGGATTACATAACTATACTAGGATATCTCGCACCTCGAAAAACCAGCCAGCTAAACAGGCGCGAGCCAGGCCGTGGTTCGACAAAGTGTACGGAGTACGACCAGCCTGCAATCCGAATGACAGTCCCGTCACCAGTAGCTGTCTGCCGTTGAAGGTTTCACTAGCATATCAACCCTTTTTCTTTTCATCAATTGATGGTAGCTCCCTGCGAGGTCTAGATGCAGCAGTTTTAAAATCTCTCCCAGCTGAGTTGCAACGGCAACAGGAACGCGGGTGGCTGGGCAGCCGTCATTCACAATCTCTCATTGGCCATCACGGGTCCACCTGGGCAAGCTAAGCGAGCCGTTCAACCCAGCCCGTACCTGGCGTGCTACGCGTGCTTGGATTCTGCCCACCTCCCCTCACCTTTAGGCCTGTTGCTCCCCCGCCATTGGTGCCCTTCTGTTGCTGTGTCCCTGGCCAACCAGCCAAAGGTACCTAACCCCTCCATCCATATCCCCCCATGCAGTCAAGTCCCTTGTAAGTAACCCCTGGATCAACTGTCAAACCGCCTTGGAAGCTGCACTACCACCACCAAAATGGAGCCATTTCAACCTCCCAACCACCAACATTTCCCATCACGAGCTTTTCCCAGCTTCCCTCACCCAGCCATCCGCGCTTGCTAGTGCAGCGCAGTAAAACCATCATGGCTCCCGCACATCCTTCTGTTTGCTTTTCCTTTTGCTTCTCCAGTTTTTTCTCGTATACCCTACAGTCGCTTTTGCAACTATTCGTTTTCGATCGACATCGATATCCACCGTCCTGTCAGTGCCCGTCCTTGATCCTGCAGCAACAGCAAGAAGCACAACATCGACCAGGCCTGTCAACTTGAAGCACCAGACTTGAGACGAGCTCTCTCTCTCTCTCTATCTCTCAAACACATCACACCGCCAGCAGCTGGTGGTCCATCGTCAAGATGCGGCCCTCTGCTCCCCTCCCGCTGCTGCTATCCGTCTCCACAGCAGCAAACGCGATCCCCCTCATCGATCGTCTCCTACATCTTCGTGACACAAAGCCAACAAAGACCTATTCGGTGGTCAATGTTGAGGGAAGTCCCAGCGCCGACCCGCCAGTCGTCACCGTCACAAGATCGCCGGTTCAGACAACGGTCACGCAGAGGGTCACCGATACCATCACCCAGATCTCGTCTGCAGTACAGACAACATCTACATCCCTCATCATCGTGAACGTCGATGGCACCACGGACAGCGGCCCGGCAACCGTCACTGTCTACCCAAGCGTCAAGCCTACCCCTGAATCAACACCTTTGACAGTCACTCCCACGACGGCACCAACAACGCCACCAGTTGCTCCTCCATCAAGTTCTGCTGAGCCAGCACCCTCCTCAGCTGCACCGTCAACTCAAGTCTCCCAGTCTGTTCAGCCAGCTCCTTCTTCAACAGCTACGCCGGGCGTCCCTTCGAGCATCGCCAGTCCTCCATCAACCCCGTCCTCGAGCGCCCCTGTCGTGGTGCCTCCCCCGTCAAGCGAAACGTTGGCGTCGCCTAGCCCATCCTCGCCAGTGCCTTCATCGCCGTCGACATCTGCAATCGAGCTGCCGCCCTCTACAGAAACCCCAGTGGCACCATCATCGGCACCTGTTGGCTCATCCACCGCCATTGTTGTGCCTCCTCCTTCGACGGAAACGCAGGCCATTCCCAGTTCGTCCCCGTCACCGTCCGCCAGTGTCTCCACGGGAGCAGTGGAGCCTCCATCAACATGGACATCTATTGCGGCACCCCCAGCATCGTCCTCAGCAGCCGCAGTTCCCAGTTCTTCAGAGACCAATGTGGTGCCCCCTCAGTCGTCAGCAACATGGGCTGCTCCAAGTGAACCGGTTTCAACACCAGTTGAATCGTCTGCGGTCATCGTCCAGCCTCCCCCGCCCACGGAGACTCCGGTTGCGCCGACTTCTTATATCACTCCCCCTGTGGAACCATCGTCTGCTCTTCCACCTAACGTAACATCATCATCATCATCAACCTCGACGACTATAACTTCTACCTCTACTAGCACAAGCGTCACAGAGGCTTACACGCCGCCGACTCCTACCCAAGTCTATGAGACCACCTATCAAACCTCATGGGTACAGACGCCCAGCTCTTTCCCTCAACCCTCAACCTTCGTCACCAGCATCATCAGTGTGACAACATCTTCCTCGGTCCCGGAGTCTACCACGAGCTTTGACGATGGTGATTGGTCTACCACCAAGTACCCCGAGTGGAACGGTACTGCCAGCGCGATCCCTCGCTACCGCCGATGAAGCGGGGTGCCCATTTCCTTTTGCTATTACGGAAAAGACGATTTATGTCTAATGTACTTTCACATGTTTTGCATATCCTCAGCATGGCGTAATTGGTTCTGCTAGAACATGGGAGGTTGTTTAAACTTAAGGCATGGGTAACACGTGCGAACGAGACCTGAGAAACGACGCATCATTCAGGGCCAAGGGCCATCTCGGACTGTGGGAAGAGAGCTCACAGCAGCACAGACCAAGAGCTGGAACGCGCTGTCATCAATGGGTTTCCTAATGTCTAATAAGATAGAACTTGTATATACTCAATCAACCGTCACATATGATCAATCGTTCTTCCGTATGCTCGAAACAGAACGTCGTGCCCCAAACTTTTGTCTGTAACGCCGATTAGAGTCTCCGCAGTTGATTAATTCAGTCGTTGATAATCACACATGTCCCCCCCCTGGGCGCAGAGGCTGAGTCGGCATGTGTAATGGGAGAAGGGGAGATCCCATGCTCACGAATTTACTAGTTTACTCAAGCTGGGACGTCTGCGTGACCATCTAGACGGCTATTATTATCTCAACCTCGGCTTTTGGAAAACCATTTGGAATGAGTGAAACCTTCCTGTCAATTCTTCCATCGTTACTTGGCTGTAGGCAGTCTGCTTCTCTTATTTCCAAGAGAACACGGGAAAAGTCGGATTAGATGGAGATGCAAGCGAAGCCGCAGCTCAGCATAGGACGATTGCCAGAAAAATAATGCCAAAAGGATTGTCCTCTTCAACACTTTTACAAATATGATTAGACAATTATCCGCTGGCTAGCCTTCCAGAAACTGTCGGCATCAGCCACCTCATTGGTGCGCGGAGGAAAGGGTAGCGTTGGCGCTAGGCGACTAGCACGCATCGACCAACGCGAGAACACGTTGGACATCACGAACCGGTTCACGGGTTTCCTGGGATGCGTTCATACTCTGCTTTTATCTAGCTTCACATCCAAAATCAAAAGAGAGACACGTTCTGAAATTCACGATCAAGGGAGTTGGAGACGTCGGGCCAAGTCCCATCTGCTCTTCTATGTTCTGAGCCGGGTTCCTGCAGGATTGCGGACCTCCTCGCAACCTCTACAGTCGGAGATGGGGCAGAGGGCGTGTGCGAGTTGAGCCAAGTCTGTGCCGAATAATCCGTGCCATGGGAAACCGTTTATGCATGACAAACTCCCGGAGATCTTTAGGAAGGTCCCGTTGGAGGAGCTAGAGTGTAAGCTTAAGAAAGATACAGCCTGCTCGGCCGATCTATATGACTAGAGGTCCGTAGGATCCATGCTATTTTCTCTCTTGCAGCCTTTTGCGTATCAGAATGACGGGGAACTCGAAAGTGAATTTTCGCTCGGTGAGCGAGCTACCTTAGATTGGGGATTGCCCAATGATACGTCTACACGTCTTACGGTCTTGTCATGACTACGCCGGTACAGCTGACAACGCAGCGACGGGCCTGGTGCCGTTCAGATGAACGCGGGCTCCGACAGTTTTACGGCGAGAGGAGCTAGTTTCTGAGACAATCTGGCGGGAGCGAGGGGGTTCGGCATGTGTTGACAGTCATAGTCTCTTCACGAGCTTGCTAAGGCAGGACGGGAGCGGCCCCATGAGTAAGGTAGTAAAGGTGAGTCGTACTGTTGATCAACTTCGTCATTCCTCGATGGGTCCCCCGATCTATCTGCCATGTTTTTCGGGTCCTATCTCGGTCAACTCTAGGACAAGGCCTTTCAGCTGCAAAGAGGGAGGAGGAGGAAGGGGGGAGTATATACCCGCGGTGCTCCTTGTGTACCATATATACTAATGTGCCGACTTACACGCTCGTCTCAGCCTTTCCACACAAACACTCCGTCCATTGAGCTGAAGAACAACCACTCTCTCCTTTCTTCCCAGAGCAAAAGTTTCCTCTTCTCAGGGCCATAAGAAACCATCTCAGCAACATTTCTTGTGCGTCTCTCTCTCTCACGCAATGTTTCCGCGCCTCCAGCCATGCAGACGCAAAAGCGTCTTCTCGACTCTCCTTCTCTTCTTTCTTTTAGCCCTCCTCATCGACCTTACCTCCGCGTCACCATCCTCGGTCACAGAACAAGCCCTCGACAAACAAACAAGAGACACAACAGTCCTACAGGACTACACATACCTCGCCATCGCGGCCGATACATCCTGCGACGCGTCCGCAGGCCAGTACAACTGTCTGTCGGATTCATTTCAGTACTGCCTCAACGGAACATGGAGTACCGTTACCGCATGCACCGAGAATAGCGAAAAGTCTGCCGAGTCGTCGTCTCTCTGCTCGCCTGTTGGAAGGACGGATACCATTGACTTCAACGGGGAGTGTGAAATCAGTGCTGCTTGGGGATGGGGGAACGGTGGGGGTGGTTGGGGTGGAGGCAGGGGGTATTACGGTGCTGGAGAGAGAGTTGAGGTGTCTAGATGGGTTTGGTCTTTTGTTGGTATGGTTTTCGTCTTGGGCGCGTGGTGAAGCTTAAGTTGATGGGCCTCCTATCGCTTATGTCCTGGGCAAGTGAATGAGAAAACGAAGGGTGGGATGGATGGGGAATTGGAACACATTCGGACTTTTCATCCGGGAAGGGGATTGTACATCATCCGGTTGGATGATACATTTTCTTTGCACAGACGAGGTTTTCTCATTGGATTCATCCAGTAAGGCGTCTTCTTTTGTAATAATATCAAATCGTCTGTTAGCCTGACAGAAATATATGGCTTCGTTGATGAATGGTTGAAATATGCAGTCCATTAGCATTTATGTGCGACAACTAGTCATCCCAATATGCCGGTAGCAAAAGTTTCATTACATGGAATATTCTTTGACAGACGGAAGCAAGCTAACTGGAAGCATACAAGAATGAGACGTATTGAGGCTGACATCAATTCATGCGGCAACCCGGATCCGAAGGTCCACAGATCAACGAGAGCCACGAGCCAACTTTGCGCTATCGTGACGTCACCCCTTGGCGCATCACAAGACCGGGTTTAAGGAAGCTAACGACCAACTTCTCTCTTGATATAAATTCCGGAGATAGTTTATTGAACTTGGATTTCATATCTAATTGAAGTGTTACCAAATATTCACATAAATCGGCTCATTAATCAACCATAAGAAACCAACGTCTACCAAAGCTTGAACGCAACTATCACCATGGCCACACACACGAATCCCACAGCTGTCAACGCCGAGACCGCCGGCACCGCAAACACGTACGAGAACCCCAATGTTAACACCGCAACCTCCCACACTACGGCAACCGGCGAGATTCCAGCAACGCACTCGACTTCCAGAGCCGCTACAAGCGCGGTCGGTGGCGGAGATGCGCCAACGACGCGTAGCGGCGGCATCGGACAGCAGATCAAGGGTGCATTTGCACAAGGACATGTGAGTAGTACCCGAATCTAGTACTTCCTGGCAAGTTGAGGGCCTTTGCTGAATTTGTGATGTTGATGACCGGGTTACAGGGAATGGGAGAAGTGATTCGTGGAAAGTTCAACTCTGCTGTTGATACCGCGGCTGGCGACTCGCAGGGCATGGCCAAGAACAAGAACATTACTACTGGCGGCGAGAGGGAGTTTGCGACAAAGGACTTTGTCAAGAAGGGAACTTTGGACAAGGCTTTGTGAGGTATTTGTTTTGAGAGGATGTATTTTATGTATGATGTGATGAGTGTTGTTGATGGAGGGCTTGAATGATACCAACTTGCTTGACATTCCCTTCCGTATTTACCCCATCGATTTCCACTACGCTGTCGCTACCTGTGTCTGTAAAATGGATGGTTGAAGCTCCGACTTGACGAAGATCTGTAATATCATTTTCGCATCTCCTAAGCTCCTTGGGGTGGGATCTGATTTACGTTCGAGAGGTTGAGTCATAATTCTGACTTTTTTGTTTCTCATTCAAATTACTTTTTCTTCCAGAACAACCAAAAATGCTAGCAAACGCCATGGTATGGACAATATGCAAGATATGGTAAGGATGTTAGACTCCAGGGAATCGGACGTGATGGGTATGAGGTGAGTCGCAAGCGGAATTTGCATTTCGACATGGCCATGAGGGTCGAACTTAGCTGGGTAAGATGGCAAAGGACACAGGGTACGCATATATTTTTTGCTCCACAGACAGAAGAGTTCGTAGTAATTATCTGCCTCCAATGTAGAGTTGAGACCTCAATGAAGCTCAGAAAGTCGAAGAATGGTCGATGATATTTGGCAGACTGGGTCTGGCTGTCAGTCTTGGAAACGATCGGGTTTCATTATCTAGTAAGAAATGGTATGGATCAAGCTGTCATCTCCCCCACAGATATACTATTCATTGGGAGTCCTCGGATTTACTCAATGTGAAATGCTATCATAGCGCAGAAGGGGGCTGGGAAGTGATTCCGGCAAGCATGTAGCCAATCGTTAGATAGAAAATGGCACCGGGGTTCCCATTGCGACGATCATCCCTATAGAAAGATTGCTGATTTTATCGTGAGGATAAAGTTAAGATGCTTTATGAGAGGCAGCCGGTGGGTATCCAACAGTGGGAGCGGAGGTGTCCCGGTGGCCCCCGCGATTCTAGAATTGTGGAGCCCGGGGTGACCCGCGGAGTCGTGAGCGCTGGTCCGAGACAAGGACGGAGGCATTGTTTTGCGGACAGCGTTTGTCAAGACCAGATACGATGTCAGTCTGGACGCCCCATAAGTTGCACTAGTGAAGAAGGATTGCTTATCATCCTCGCGAAGAGTCAGCCGGTAAATACTCAGTGGGGCATTGCATGATGTTTGCTACATATTGCAGTGCTGATTGTACAAGTTGCATTCACGCTGGTCCGGTTGGTTTAAGCAGCTTTTGGCCTGCTGGTGAGTCTCCGTTGTGCAGGGTGAAATAGCTGCGACACACACCCTCCATTGAGGGATTCTGACTGCCCAAGCAATGGAAGGGTGAGGTGAGGTCCACTGGTAAGGTGAGATGAGGTCGGGGAGATCCACACCTCCCCCAAGAACCCCAACAAGGGGACCTTGACGGCCAAGGTCGGGACTCCGCGTGTGCATGCGGCACAGCGGTTGGATGTTCACATTGCCAACGGCAACTGCAACGAAGTTCTGCTCATCAAAAGAAAGGGAAAGAGTCATTGGCCGATGGGATGTTTCCGACTCGGGGAAAGGACCACTTGGGCAGTTAGAGGCAGAAGCAAGTGCCAATATCAGTCACTAGGAAGGCACCTTGATGGACCCCTCTCCTTGGCTGCTTCTCGGAACGCGTGGGTGTACCAATTCGGAAAGACATGTCAAAGGAAGTCACGCTCACCTTCCACCTTCGCAGGGGCACTTGCCGTACCTTACACGATGCCATAAGACCAGCTGATGACCCTCTTTCCGCGTCTGCTATTTTCCAATTCCGCCTCTTTTCTTTCGTCTTCCGATTACACTCCTCTTCTACATCTCCATTCATCGTTGCTGTGCTGTTTTCAAACCTCTAGACACCAGTTCCATTCATCCGAGAAGCGTCCCCGTCCAACCCACCCGAGTTCCGACCCCAGATTTTGACCCCAAGTTCCCGTCCCACACCTCGTAACCCCACGATTCCATCATGGACGAAGAGCAATCTCCCTTGATGCGGATCCCCGCCGAAATCCGCATCATGATTTACGAATACCTTCTCGACGACGCTGGCGAAAGGAGACTCGCCGTCCGCAATAAAGCAATGCACCAGCTGCACACCGGCGCCCTGAGCACCTACCGCCGCACCTCATACCGCATCATCGAGAGGTCCTTTCACAGGCAATGCTTCTTGACGACGTACGCGCATCACCACCCGGCTAGCCCCAAGTCCATAATGCACCCCGAAATCATGGCCGTCAACCGCCGCATCCACCGCGAGACGAGTCACCTTCTTTACGGCCGCCCACACGGTTTCGACTTCGGTAGCGACGTTGAGGCTGTGGTGCCCTTCCTCAAAGACCTGACGCCCTCGTCTCGATCTGCTATCCAGGAGCTTACCATCCGCAAGGACGGGCCTGTGATGCACTGCAATAGTGAGAGTGACCGGCTGGACTGGGCTACCATGTGCGCCTACCTCCGCCGGCTGGATAAGGCGATACCTAGGCTGCGTATCATCGTGGAGGGCGGAAGACCGACGGCGGCGTGGGAGGGGCCGCAGGTACTGAGCGTCTCAGATCTGAGGTTGCTGGCGCTCATTAAGCACGATAGCATGGAGTGGGTCGCTGAGCTGGCCAAAGTCGAGGGGATTGAGAAGCTGGAGATTGTGCCGAGGATACGCCATCTCCCTGCGCCCGGCACGACGGCAACGCTGTTGTTTGCTGCATTTTCAGCGTCAATTGACACGGCGCTTGTTGAGTATTTACAGACGGACTGTGCGCTTCCTGCTACGGCTGTGTCCCTCACAGTCTGAGACCGTTGGGAGGCAGTGATTGTGGGATATTCTGGGCTGCTTTTTCGGCCTTCCCACTCGGGAAATCGGGTGAGTATGGACACGAGCCCACTGATTGCGGGGATGGAGCAAAACTGGAGAGTGTGCGGAGTTCTATCTGGATTTGGATGGCGTTTTGTTGGAGTAAGGGGTTCACGAACACACATATCCTGCATGATGCAGCAATGGCACATGGGTACGGAGTAAGCCCACGGCATGGTATTTTCTGAGATGGGTGAAGATGCGAATTGACATAGGGGCATCCTCAATGTAGGGATACATTGCACAAGAATGCGACAGTGTACGAATCAGCTAATGGGAAAACCTCAAACGAAATATGAACTGACGCATTGCACGTGAGAGGGACTATTGGTTGTTGGTGATGTTGTCGTTGCTCCGATCATCAAGTGGTCAGGTTGGTTGTGTGCTGTTGAGAGGCGGAAATCGAATTGAACCCACAGGCTGATGCAGCCAAGGCGGGGGGCGCTGGCCGGAACTCTGGCTTGTGCCGCGACCCTTGGTCCAACACAGAACCTCTGCTTCCAACGCGCCAATGTACCAACGTTTGTGGTTCGAGATCCTGGTCAATCTTCTTCCACGGTCTAGAGTCGATACTTGAGTGGCAAGGGTTCTGGACATCTCGAAATAGATGCTCGTGCTTGATCGTCAGTTTGTTTGCTGGACGGGATTTGTGTACGTTCGCCGATCGGGATGGTGACAACATTTTCGTCGTAGGGGAGGTAGGTAAAATGGTGGAGGTTCTAAACTGGAGGGTATCGGTAGGATGTGCATGATTGAAGTAAAATGGGTAGCTGCCGTGCTGTGTATGTGTATTAAGCTCACTCTGAAGTGCATTCTTGAGGTAAACCCCGCCGAGGAGCGAATTCTCCCCAGGTTTTCTTGGTTCTCACATAAAGGGAACTTGTGTTCCGAACGACGAGTCTCTGCGGCTCAAGTGCCCAGCAATTTTATCTCAGTCAGAGGGTGTCACCGATGTGCTGGATTCCCGCCATACCTTAGTCGACCTACCTACCTATGGAATGGAGGGTAAGGTATCGCCTGCCACACTGCCCTCTTATCTCATCGCCCGCTCTGGCGATGAAGCCATGGGAATGTCGTCAAAGCTCGTCCGCCCTTTCTCAGCGTCAGTTGATATGACACCGGGTATAGAATACCTTGGGCTTCATTCAATTCAGACGGTGAAGCTAAGTTGAAGAAGCGATGCATCACTGCGATAAAATTGGAAATATGGTAAATGCTGACTTTCTAGTCAAGACTGCGAAGAGACTATGCAGACACGATCTTGAACTAGGTCCAAGACCTTACAAAACGTAACCAGTTGGAAGGGATAGAAGGGCGGATTTCTTTTTGATTTCACTGCGTTTTTAACCCACACAAAGGGATTGAAGAAATCGTGAAGAAAAGAGCCGCAACACTGAGCCTCGCTTTCACTGCATTTTCAACATCATTAGAGGGTGTACCATCCCAATCACTGAGACCTCTTATCTTATCGCTCTTCTCGATATCTTACATAATGTTACCTTACATAATCCTTGCTCTAGGCAGCTTGATTCTCCGACCTCCCACTGGCGGGCACGTCACAGGCAAGTCGCAAGAGAATGGAAAGGGACAGTCTCCACTTCTCGTCCACGCCAGCCAGTGTCTGGTCTTCACTCCACTGCTCCAGCCACGGCTCAGTCCACCGAGCTCGCATCGCACAGCACCGCAGCACTGCCCAGTCGGTCCTTAGCACTCGCCTCGAGCCAGCTACTGCCAACCTGACGGGACTCCATCGTCAGCCTTCCAACGAACCCCCCCGGATCTCACCTCGCAACCCTTTTCGCAGCCGCGCGCGCCGACGACACACCTCCGACATCTGCGCCCTCATCCATCGCGCAATTGTTCCGACCGCAATCGATCCACTCCGACTCTGTCGTTTGTCCTCTTCATCAATGAGCCACAACTGAGCATCATATACGTCGCCTCGATCGATAACTACCCCGCCGGTTCGACTTCGATATGTCTGCGACTCCTGTGCCGCCGGAAGACCAGGCACGCCTCTTGGAGGATGCCCTGGTCGCGGTGCGCCAGCAGACGGCTCTCATGCGCAAATGCCTCGACACACCGAGCAAGCTCATGGATGCCCTCAAGTGCTGGTACGTCATCCCCGTTCCCCGGATTCCCGGGAGCTCCTAGGCAGCTTCTCTCGATGCCCCCGATAAGCTTCAATGGTCGAGACTAACAGTCCAATGCACCTCGTCCAGCTCTACCCTAGTTTCCGAGCTGCGCACAAGTAGCCTGGGCCCGAAGCAGTACTATGAGCTGTACATGGCCGTCTTTGACGCCTTGCGCTATCTCTCCGTCCATCTCCGAGAGAACCACCCCGTAAACCATCTCGCCGACCTGTACGAGCTCGTCCAGTATGCTGGTAACATTATCCCGCGCCTGTACCTCATGATCACTGTCGGCACCGCCTACATGTCCATTGCCGACGCACCTGTCAAGGAACTCATGAAGGATATGATGGATATGAGCAGGGGCGTGCAGCATCCAATTCGCGGGCTGTTCCTCAGATATTACCTTTCCGGCCAGGCCAGAGACTACCTACCGACAGGTGACGGCGACGGCCCCGAGGGCAACTTGTCCGACTCGATCAACTTCATACTCACCAACTTTGTCGAGATGAACAAGCTCTGGGTCCGGCTGCAACACCAAGGCCATTCCCGGGAGCGCGAACAACGGACAAGAGAGCGGAAAGAGCTTCAGCTTCTGGTTGGAAGCAATATCGTCCGACTGAGCCAACTCGTGGATCTGGAGACGTACAAGTCGGGCATTCTCGCGCCTCTGCTAGAGCAGGTTGTGCAATGTCGCGATGTCCTGGCACAGGAGTACCTGCTCGAGGTCATCACCCAGGTTTTCCCTGACGACTTTCACCTACACACTCTGGACCAATTCCTCGGAGCCGTTTCGCGCCTGAATCCCCATGTCAACGTAAAAGCTATTGTTATCGGCCTGATGGATCGCTTGTCCGATTACGCCGAACGCGAATCCAAGGACGAGGGAGAAGGGGACCGGGCCAAGCTGGAGGAAGAGGCACTATCAGCTCTGCTGGAGAAGACAAAATTGCAGGCCGAGAAGGCATCAAGTGCGCCAGGCTCCGGTGTGGACGAAAATGGGAAGCCCCTTGACCTCGATACAAACGGTGCCGCGCACGAGAGCAGCGAAAACGAAGCCCGCGCCGCAGAGGACCTACCACCGCCAGAAGAGCCAGCTCCTTCGATTGCCGACACCGAGGCGACTGCCGTCAACGGAGAAGGTGCCGATGCAGAGAAGGGGATCCCAGAGAACGTGCAGCTCTACGAGATTTTCTTCAGCCAAGTCAAAAACTTGGTGGATGCGCAGCACCTCCCCATCCCAGACACAATAGCGTTGCTCTGCTCACTGACAAACCTGGCACTCAACATTTACCCCGAGAGGCTAGACTTTGTCAACCAGATTCTAGAGTATGCCACGATCAAGGTCCGGGAAAACGCAAACAATGCCGACCTTCATTCTCCCCCTGCACAGCAAAGTCTCTTGGCCCTGCTGCAAGCGCCTCTCAACCGCTACCTTTCCATCTTCACCGCGCTCTCTCTTCCTACCTACGTTCCTCTTTTCCAGTCACAGTCGTATCCGACTCGCCGCGCCGTTGCTGGTGAGGTCGCTCGCACTCTCCTCCGTGACCAGACACGGATCTCTACCCCTAGCCAGATGGAGAATGTTTTGGAGGTCCTGAAGGTGCTCATTAAGGAGGGCTCCCAAACACCGTCCAACTACCCAGGTGTTGCACAACGCCGCGCTGTCGAGACCGACGAGACTATGGAGGAACAAGGTTGGCTGGCCAGAATTGTCCACCTCATTAATGGCGAAGACAACGACACACAGTTCCGTCTGCTGCAAATGACCCGCAAGGCTTACTCTGAAGGCAACGAGAGGATCCGCACGACGACACCGCCCCTCATCACCGCCTGCATGAAGCTCGCAAGACGCTTCAAGACGCGTGAACACTACGAGGACAACTGGGAGACCCAGAGCAACGCCCTCTTCAAGTTTATGCACTCTGCTCTGAGCACCCTGTATACCCGTGTCAACGGAGCCGGCGCGGCGGAGCTCGCCCTGCGCCTGTTCTGCGCGTCCGGTCAGACGGCTGATATGACGGGCTTTGAGGAGGTGGCCTACGAGTTCTTCGCTCAAGCCTTCACCGTCTACGAGGAGGCCATTTCGGATTCCAAGGCGCAGTTCCAAGCCGTCTGCGTTATCGCCACGGCGCTGCACCAAACGAGAAACTTCGGCAAGGAGAACTACGACACTCTCATCACCAAGTGCGCTCAGCACGGCAGCAAGCTTTTGCGAAAGCCGGACCAGTGCCGTGCTGTCTACCTCGCTAGTCACCTGTGGTGGGCTACGCCAATGGCTGTCAATGGCGAGGCCGACGAAACTGGGGTAAGTCTGGGCTGCATAAATAACCAACCGATATTTGCTAACCATTTGCAGCTGTACCGCGATGGAAAGAGAGTGCTTGAGTGTCTTCAAAGAGCTTTGCGCGTTGCCGACTCTTGTATGGAGACGGCAACATCGATTGAGCTGTTTGTTGAGATCCTCGACCGATACGTCTACTACTTTGAGCAGCAGAACGCAGCGGTAAGCAAACCAACGGTCTACGTCAGAATACTGTCGTGTGAGTTTGAATACTGACATGGCTACAGGTCACCACCAAATACCTCAACGGCCTCATCGAGCTCATCCACTCCAATCTCGCCGGCAACCAGCAGGATTCGGCCTCGGTCGAGAATAGCAAGCGCCACTTTTACCACATCCTCGAAAGTATTAAGGGGCGGCAGTACGACGGTATTGTCCTGTACCCGAAATAAGCACTGGTACTTGGGACCAGTCGACCCGTTCTTGAAGCAAACGGGAGGCAGTTCTCCAATTACCACATGACGACACACCATACGAGAGCAGGGAGAATGAAAGAAGGAATTATGGAGAGGGAACAGACGGGGGTTTCTTAATTAGCGGCGATGACAACGAGAGAGGCCAACATGGGTCGTGAGAAGAGCCTGGTTGAGGCTTTGAAGATTGGAGCAAAAGGAGATGAGAGAGGCAGCTGCGTGTGAGAGAGAGAGAGAGTCAAGAAAAAACGTGTTTATACGATAAGCGCATGCAATGAATTGGAACAAGACGAAATCTGTGGTTGTGGTTGTGCACAGAGAGACAATGGAAAAGCTTTGCATGTGGCTTGTGGACTTGATTGTATATACGTGTGTCGTGCCTTTTCTCTTCCTACCTTACCTTACTCTTAGTGAAGCGATCGAAGTTTTCATCCCCGCCATAATCATCACCCCTCTACAGGATCAAGGTTGGAGTCGAGAGACGGGCAGGACAGATTGATGATATTCATCACGGCACTTGGAACTTCATCACGATAAAACACGGGCAAAACAGAGTTTCAAGCTACACGTTCCGCTACAAAATCGCGGCAGTGTTAAAAATTTCAACTATCGTACCTTTGGGAACATAAAAGAATTGCGGAACAATGGTTGTTTGTGTGGCAGAAATTTCCCCCCTAAACTCCTTGCAATGCCAGAAAAAAACAGGAACAGAGAGGGTTGGCGGTAGGCTTTCGCGAACGAGGCGGTGATAGGCCATCGAACCCCAGAAGATCTCCCAAACGGAGTTTTTTGTTAGAGAGTTGAACAAAAAAGGAACGAGAGCAGGCGAGCCCCCTTCGTACATGTGTCTTCCTCCAAGTGCATTCAAAAAATGCGGTAAAACACACACCCCAACGTCGTATCGAAACACGGAAAAGTAAAGAACCCAACATAGAAACGGGGATAATGGTGCGATCAGCTGCTCTCTGCAGCCTTCTCCCACTCGGATAACGCATTCGTCGCGTTCTGGATGATGCGCGCCGTTTTCTCGACGAGCTTGTTCGCGAGCTCCCAGTTGCCGGCCTCGACGGCGTCGCGAATGGCGGCAAACGTGACGGGCTTGTTGCCAGACCAGGCCTGAGGGCCAAAGATGACGTGCTTGAACTGGGTGCGGTCGGGAATCTACACATTCGTCAGCAGTTGAATCAGGAAACACGGATAACATGTCACGGAGGAGGGAAGAGATAAAACTTACACCACCACCCTGCTCAAGGTCCAGCAGCGCCGTCTCAAAGTCGGCCATGTGGTTGTTGAACTGAATACGCTTGTCGCCCATATCACCCGACTCCCAGCCGCCACCGCCCATGACTGTGCTCTCCCACGTCATCTCCCACATCGAGAAGCCCTTGACGTTGACCTTGGTTTCCGCGATGAGCTTCTTGAGGGGCTCCAGCGAGAACTTGTCCTGCGTACCCGCACCCATGTGCTCGCAAAAGTTGGCCAGATCGTTGATGTAGCGCTCGATGCGCTCGCTGTAGCCCACCATGTCGAATGGTAGAATGGGCTTATCCGCAAGCTCTAAGATCAGGAGTCCGACAATCTGGCCCATCATGACGTGGTACGCAAATTCCGGGTCGCCGATGCGTTGAACCCATTCGTAGTTGTCGTAGCTGGATTGCGCGGGGAATCGTGCGCCCCTGAAGCCGAGATCGAGAGAGCTGGTGCCGGCGATGTTTTGGAAGGGAACCCAGTCGCCGTCCATTCCAAGCTCTTCCAGGTCACCCTCGCGCTGGTTCCAAAGGTCACGTACTGTCGCGTTCAGGCCCGCATCAAAGACACGATCGATGACGCGGAGGACAGCTTGCTTGAAGACGGGCGATCCCGCAGCGTGGAATTCGCTGCCTGCCACGGCGGAGTCAAGATTGATGTAAGCGAATGCGTTTTGCCGCAGGAGCTCGTCATTGTGCTCGACGAATTCGGTGGAGCCAATCATGTTGTACTCCTCAGCGTCCCACGACATGAACTCGATACTGCGCAGAGGGCGCCAACCCTTGGAGACGAGTGTACCAAAGATGCGTGCCATCTCAATCAGCACCGCCGTGCCAGAGTGAGGTTCAGTCGCGCCAAATGACCAAGCATCCCGGTGGTTTCCAATGATGATGGACTTCTGATCCTGCTCAATGCCTTCGATTTTGCCGTAAACGTTCCAGATACCCTTCTGCTCAACAACGTCGTTATCGTTCTTGAGTCGTACGATGGGTGAAGAAAGGTTGCCGGTCCACCACTCGGCAATATCAGGAACACCTCCCGCCCATTCCTTCGGCACCTGCTCACCATGGCCCTTGAGATGCTGTAGTAGAATCTGTGCGTCACGCCACGCGAGGGGTAGACTGGGGATCTTGGTCAGACCCTTGCTCTCATCGGGCTTCATGCGCGGCAGGTTCTTCTTGCTCTCCCAGCCAGGGGTCAGGGGGTCACCGAGGACCCAGTTCGACAGCGCAACGGAGCCTCTCTGAACACCATCGGCGGGCATGAAGCGGCCATTGGGTGCGACATCGCCCAGTCTGAAGCCGTCATCAGCTGGATCGCTGTACACGATGCAGCCTGCGAAGCCGGCATCCTCTGCCGCCTTGACTTTGAGGGCCAAATTTGCCTGAGTGCCATAATAACGAACAAGAGCAATCGCGCCCTTGGTATCAATCCCATGATCCGCAAGCTTCTTGAAATCCGACCTCGCGCCATAGTTGGCATAAATCAAAGGTCCTTTGACATCTCCTGACTTGGATAGTCCGTGGAACACAAACGTCTGGTGTCCAGCTGCTTCTCCTCCGATTTCCTCTTCTTCCAGCTTCGCAGACCATTTTGGCTTTCCGTCGTCGCCCATAATCTCCACAGCGCGTCCTCCGGCCTTTGGGTAGTTCATGTACACGTAGTATTCGTCAACGTTGACGTAATCCAGCCCGGCTCTGGTGAACATGGACTCGACGTCCATGGCCAAAGCATAGTCGCCCTCAGTTCCTGCCATGTGGGCGTATTTGGTATAATGAGCTACCGATGCCTTGAGCCGGCGGCCTTCGACATTTTGCTGCACGTACAAGCGTACATCCTCGGGGTTGAAGCGCAGTCCGCCATTCATGCGCCTAGCCATGCTTGTGAAAAGATCGCTCATGAAGAGTGCGTAAAGAATGCCCATGACGAACACAACAGCAAAAACCCGGGCAAAAATGATAATGGCCGTCCGCGCCTTATCCTTATCCCATTGCGGGAAAGTGAAACGCGGTCTCGTCGTCGTCGTCGCATTCGCCTCGTTCGAGTTGTTGGAGTTGTCGGCCGAGCCCGAGGGCAGTCGAATTGTTGGACGCAGATTTGGCATCCGCCATCGCCAAGACCACTTCCAGCGTGATAAGGAGAGGGCGAATGGTATCCGTTTCCCCCATATTGACGGGCGCGATCTGTCGTCCGCATCCCCTATTTCGAGCTCTTGCATCTCCCGGCGCACATATGCCGTTTCGTCTCCATCGTCGTCGCTGCCCCATGAGCTATCTTCGTCATCTGTTTCGACTGTTGGCGGCCTGTAACCGTTTGGGCGACGTGATGAAGTTGCGAGGCCATTTCTATTCAGCAGCGACTGCGACTCAGTCTCGGCCTGGGAGCGATCGTCTAGCGGAGAGCGCGGGGGTTGCTGCCATTCTGAGGGGTCGGCCGGGCCGCTTGTGGCGAGAGCTTCATCGTAACTTGGGATGGGCGGTACAGATTCGTACCGGTGATCGCGATCCGACGGCATCGTTGCGGTAGTCGCCGGTCGGGAACGAGAATCAGGGGGGCGATGTGTCAAAGGGACGTCGATCAAAGCCGTCTATCGGCATCCGTATGGCAGCGAAGGGCAAACGAGCGGTATCGAGTCGGTCGGGTGAGGACGGAGATGAAGGGAAAAGGAGTGTTGGAAAGGCGCAGCAACACACGACGCTATCGAAATACTATGACGGAAGAGAAAGGGGTCCCATGGATGCTGCTTGGGAGCAGACAGACATTGACCGGATCGACAGGACTAAGAGAAGCTGGATGGTGAGGCTAGTCGCGATGTCGATTCGGCTGGCAACGACAGAGCTCGATGGAGGTTGAATTGACTCTGCGGCTGGCGATGTCGAAACACGAAGGTTCGTGATTTGGCATGGATGAACATGGAGGTGCTACTGTCCCGGCTTCCGTGCGGCAGTGGGCCGGTCCCCAGGCAGTTCCAGTCCCAAACCACTGGCGACGACCAGTGAATGCAGCCGCAGTTTAGTGAGTCTGTCCACTGCAGAGTCCCCTACTCTGCCAGGGCTGTCCAATCAAGATTGACGAGTGTCTTTCTGGGCAGTGAATTTCTGCTTACGTACACCCGTGGTCCCTCCTGCTTACCTAAGGCAGCTTACGCGGATTCGCCAAAGAATGGAAACCGCGGGATGCCCATACGGATATCACGATACGAGGGACCCGGGGAGGTAAGATAGCCGGATAACGGAGGCCTGCCCCCGGTTACATAAGCGGGACTCACACGAATCCGATTATGTCATCTGCACAGCCACTCTTGGCCCCTCCTTGGCTGTCACTTCTCTGCAGATTGCACTGCATCTTTGATTCCCGACTCCGTCTCTCGATTACAGCTCCCACCCCTCCCCCTCCTCGTCTCTCTCTTCTTCCCTTCTCCCCTTGCAAGTCTCGAGTGAGGAGGATATCCCTGCTGCCTCCTTTCTGATGACGAGACTCCCCACTCATCCCCCCTGCTCTCTACCGACGGCCACCTGTTCCCAATTTCAATGTGACCCAACAAACCCCTGTGTGCATTTGTGCTCCATCTTCCAAAACGAAGCTCTTCGGGACTTCTCGCACGGGTTTCAGGTCGGCCCGGGCCCCGGATCGGCGCCCAAAAACCGGGAGAATCTGCCGTGGCTGGCCCCGGCGATTCATCCAGCCGTCCCCGGATTCAGAGATATCACGCATATGGCAAGAGACGATTTTTGACTTTGATCCGATTGTCGGATATGATAAGACGTTGACATCTTGGAGGTGCTGATAGCTTGCTCCGGGCTAGCAATACCCGGAGTTTGTGCTCTACTTACTTGGTTAGTCAGTAGTCAAATATCTAGGGCAGCCTTCTTCTTCGTGCTAGACCTGTGGACAGACCTTTCGCTTACACCTTCTGCTGGCGCTGTCTTCACAATTTTTGTTCGTCTTATTTGGGAGTGCATTACAGCATTTGGCGCTGATATTCAATTATGATTCTTACTTGTAAGTCTGCAACTGACCCTACTAACATCTGCAATCAGCTAGGCATTGTGAGCACTTCCAAAACTCTCTTCGCACTACTCCCACGCCGACTAGTCGACGCCATCACCTGGCGAATCCGAATCTTCGCTCGAAGCTTGTTAGCTAGATTACAATAACCGCCCCGATGCCGACACAAGCGCAGGTCTCTCATGATCTTGCGTGACAGCCTTCCTTCCCGAAACCTAGGTCGCTCGATTTCGAAGCAATCACCAACTCTTACCAATTCACCTCAGAACTCTGCGATCCGAATACAAATCCCCTCCAATGTGTGATCATCAATTCATAACCTGCTGCTAGCATCTCGAGGCACCCTGGAACAGGCGCCTGTCATTATCGAACACCCAATGGTTGCGGGACTTTCTGTGCCATTGGGCTACCCAGATTGCTATAACGTTTCGTACGAGTCGAAGTTTGCATTCCGCTTTATAGAAAACCTCAGTCATGGCTGTTTTCTTCAATTAGCCCCCATTAGACTTTGGACACTACTGCATGGCGTTTGTGTGACTTTCTAGAAGCGTATTTGCTGGCGACACAAACGATCCTTCTAGGATTTGGGAACTGATGATCGTGACACCAAAACACCCGATACTGTATGCAAACGAACACAAGATCGCGAGATCTCCATGCCATCTTTATCATTCGTAGCGTTTCGTCCGATTTTGGGTCAACAGCGTACGCTCGATTGGACTGACTTTGTGTGGCTGATCTCGTGCGACACCATCCATTCGAAGCTGCCGCCATACCAATTTGAGCAGCCGGCCATTTGTTTCTGTTTTAAGAGACACGGCGGCCGACTGTTGCCGTCTAGGCTCCCTCTTTGCCTGTCTCTTGCTGACTTTGATTTGTACGAATGCTATGGGTTTGCTTAACTCTATCCATGTATTGCCTGGCATTCGTCGTCGCGCCGTTATCCCAAGAATTGCTTCTGGTCCACGGCCTTTGGAAGACTCCGTCTCCTTGCAGTAACCGATTTCGGAGCAGTCCGATGCAAATTTTAGCTACAGGGAAAACAAAGAAATGCCATGTTTTGATGCCTTCAGCAGCTAGTCTGTCAGCTCGAGCCCCGAATTGCCCGTTCCACCTGCCCTCAAAGACCGTTTTCCAGTCGTTTAGTTCACTGGAACCCAGAAAATCGTGGCAATCGCATGCTGGTGCGCCTGTTAGGCGCTCTTATCTAGTGCGTTGTCCTGGCGGCGCTATCGTCATCAACATTCTTGGGGTCCATTATCCGTCACACAGAGTCTTCACCGCGTTGCTAAACAGAGCCCGATTCAAATTCACATGCAAGCTAGGGTAGCTGAAATGGCGAGTCACTACTCAGGTGCCGTTGGGTAATAATTGCTGGAAGGGAAGCAGTACTGGAAACACATCTACTTTGCACCCTCCCGTGGTCTCCATTGAAGGTTTCTAGCGAATGTCGCTAAATAATATGGCCCTCCACCCTTAGTCGACTAAAGCGCGCTCTGTCTCTCTCGCATTGACGGCCTCGCGTCGTATCACATTTGATGGCAGCTTGAAGACATTGCAACGGCCAGTCTGAGGTCTGCCATGATCGGTTTGCATCGTGAATCAAAGCGATGAAGTCTGGTACGTTGGACCAAGTTGAAGATAACAGCATGGCCGTCTGGATCAATTCAGCCTAAGTAGTACCTACCATCACAGCCTGTCCCGAAACTGCAACTCCGATTGCTCATTGCTGCCGAGGTCTATTTCGTGCGCAGTGATAACCACGGCACCATTCGTTTTCGCTCAATCTCAGCAAGTAAACAAATACAGTCCTTCCTTCATGGTTCCATAGTTCAATAATCCCGATGTAATACCAATGATCAAACGCCGTTCGTGCCCAGAAAGATTTACACTCTGCTGTCGGAGCCCACTCATACCCTGACGCCCTTCACAATCGCCATTTGAACCGTATCATTGCTCATCAAACACGCCAGCTCCAGCGTAATCGCATGGTGAAAGTACGCCGCCATCGTGCCCGGGTGACAGCCCGCCTCGTTCCTCGCCGACTCGGCCACGAGCTCCGGCAGCGTGTGCCCCAGCCCAAGACGCCCGATAATCAGTTGATTCGCTTGGATAACCAGCGGCACGTCGGGATACCAATCTGTCGCAGAAATCCCGAGGGATTTCCTCAATCGTCAGCGAAATCGTTGCCCAAATTGGGCAGAGAATTGGACCACTTTGCCGAGCGACTTCGCCCGCGTGCTTCTGTCTCGGCCGGCCCGGTTTGCATGTATCGACGAACCTCGGTCAAAGATGAAATGTCTCCTGCCAAATCCGTTAGCATATGTTTCCTGCAGCTATTCTTTTCCCTCTCGCAAGTCCAAGCCTCGGACGAGACGGACGAGGGAAAAACGGGGGAGTGCGTCTTTGCTCACGCTTCCTGCGTCCCCGACGACGCTGAACCCGTCGACGCGCTCGAGCGGCTTGAACCGCTGCAGCTGCTCTGTGCTCTGCCTCGCATGTTTGATGATTCCATGTCAATTTACGTTTTCTGCACACGCCCGGCGATCATTGCAGAAATACTGCTCTTCTTCACAAACACCCGCCAAAAAAAAGTCTGGGGAAAACGCCTCATTCATATATCTATCTCTCCTATTTTTTTATTCTGCTCACTGCGATAGATGTGGCGTTGTGCAAAACAATCGGCCGTGAGCGTGTTTGAGCAGGTAATCGCCTAATCAGGAAAGGAGCCCTTTTTTTGCTCTCTCTATTCAACTCAACGCTCTCCAACATTAGTTGCCATTATTTGCTCAGCTCAAACAGTATTGATTGGCCACAACTGCCAGTCAAGCTTGTTGGAGACTTCACTGGTGTAGTACAATGTATAGGCTTTCCCGGTAGGAATTGCCACCGCTTGAGCATATCCAGAATCGGCTCGTTGGGGTAGGCTCGGCGCCCGCGGGTTCGAAGAGATCGGCTTTTGAAAATCACTAAACTTACGAGGAAGCTGTGTAAAGCCGACAAACAGAACTTTACAGACTTCCGTCGTTCGCTACGCATGAATTCGATAGGGAGTTTCGCACGTGACTTGATACAAATCTATAGAAACTAGAAACACTGTCAGCCATCCGATCTGGTCTACGCTGCGAACTTGCGGGGAGAAAGAGAGAGGGAAGGCCTGCGAGCCTGCGAGGTCAAAGCATAGAACCGTCCAGGCTTCTCCCAGGTTATCGTGAAAAGGCGCTGATTCGTTGGTATAGTCCACAAATAGACTGCTATTGGCTCATTGTTTGCTTTGTTTCCCGTATTCGTAATGTGTCAAACTTGACGTAAATGTTTGTGAGACACTTTTGTAAGAGTCGGGTGACTACTGCGGCTGTCAAAATCGTCCTGAGACTCTGAAGTCCTGTCCGCGGAGATGCTGTTCTCTTTTTTTCGATTCGGCCGACGCTAAGGTAACCTGCAAGTCTCAGTATTGGAAGATTCAAAAATCCATAAGCTGTAGAAGAAACAAACTGAGCAATTGTCACTACTTCCTTGCGCCATCGCCATCGATTTTGCAGCATTTCAAAGCGGTGTACAATACGCAACTCGCAGCTGAATTGACATGTCTGCCTCTCCGGAAATCAAAATACGCCATAGAGACAATTTATTGCTCTTAGAACATTCTTGAATCCAGCACTAAGCTGCAACTTCAAGTCTTTGCAACACTTGTCGTACCGATAATGAATTGGCGAGAAGTGTAAGAAAACAACCAGTTGTCGCTCGGCACTTACACAAATTGCCTCAATTGCTAGAGTCAAGGAACCTTTCGACAAATCTTAGACAAAAATGTCAAGGGATTTCGCAAATTGTATAGAGAAAGAAGGATCCGCAGATTCACTGAGAGTCTTAGTTATTTGCTCGTTCAGTCGTGTCGTCGGTCAACGCGTAAAATTGCTAATCAGACACAGACTCAGTCAGCGAGAACTCTTCCCTTCCAGTTTCCAAATTCCAACTCAACCAACGCGTCCAATCTGGATAGGAAAAGTTGATTTTACTTACTGATTCAACCAGATCCTCTTCTTCAGGAAATCGAACAGTCCTCCATGGTTCCTGCAAATTTCTAGGCAAATCTCCTAAGCCTGTGCTTCCTGTTGAGATCGTTTTACGCACGATTGGTTGGTTAGTAGACACATGGAGTTGATAGCAGAAGGCTTTGGACTTCCAACGCTCGTTCTTGGCTCGTCGGAGTTGACACTATCAACTGCTTTGCCCAACAGCAAGATCTTAGTTAGGCAACTCCGACAACTCGAACAGTCGTACTACGACCACCTGCAGGTTGCATAGTTGTGGCTAACGACTTGCAATGAGGCTTTCGCCATATTCACGCGCCAATCCTGATTCCGAGTTTCGGCCAATAGGGACCTAGCCGCGAGTTGTCCCGACGAAGGCATAGCCGGCGGGAACCGCTTGGACGCCATTGGGCCTCCGATTGCGTGTCCCCGGAGTCGTCCGTCAGAGGGGATTCGATGAGACATTGATTGCCTGCCAGTGTGGCATACCGACCGGGAGTTCATTCCCGGCGGGAACAGATCGTGATTGTTGCGTGACACTGCAGTAATGCTTCTCAGCCCCGGAACCTGGCTGCCTCTGTTGCTGGTCTGACTTCTCTCGGCCAGGTTTATGTTTCTTTTTCTGGCCAAAGAGGAGATACGGCCGAGCCATAATCACCTTTTATTCGCTCCTGCAGAAGTTTGTTGGGTAGCAGTCCCAATCGATGGCTGGGGGCAAGCGAGACGATCCAGAGAGCCAAAGTTCACAACTTTCTTGGGCCCGGAAGCCTCTGGCCAAGGACCCGGATGAAGGGGGGTATCAAGTGATGGAGAGAGGGGATTGTTCGGTCGACGGGATTCGATCGATCGTTGCAAAAAGTTTTCTTGGGCTGACTGACGCTGAAATCTGGGATCTTTGGTGATGCTGGGGGTGGACCGGAGCTGGGTAAAATTGGTTCACGCTGTAAGTAATTAGCTCAACAGACGAACATGGTCATGTCTATACGCTTCCTAGCACCACAGGGCCTCGTCACACAAAGGCAACGTCAAGCATACCCTGCGGAATAGCATTTCAAAGAATCGGACACAAGATGGGACACCATCTTGCTCTGCGGACAAGGATGACAACTGGCTTAACTACTCGACTGATAATAAAAATCGTTCATCAGGCCTGGTGCGTGCTGGCGAACTCGTAACCAGGGGGTGTTCTGACAGGATGAAGAACCTTTCTCTCCTGCTGTTAGTGCCCGACGGCGTCTCCGCCGAGCTTCGTAGGCGGGATCCTCAGCACCACTATCGCTAGACTTGTACTACATAGCCCACTCTTGAAGTTGACTCGAACGTGTTCAACGGCTCTCGTTATCGGCAATTTTTAGAAATAGTCATCAAGAACCATCCGAGAACTCCAAAGCGAAACGGTCTAAATGGGCCGTTTTCCCAATGTCCGTTCGTCAAAGCGTGATGTGAAAAGAAGGGGGGAGGCAAGCCTGAAGGGGGGTGGGTGTGGTCAGCCCCGTCTTCTGGAAGTGAGGGAAGCATGTCAAAACAGTCGATTAAACAGTTCAGAGTTGACGAGGACCATGGGACGCCAAGGAAACGGGCAAAGACTGTCTGACTACTACACGGTCAACCCAAGTTCGGGGACGCACCGATGCGGTTCGAGCTGCCCAAGAGGTGTCAGCTCAAAAAAGGCTACTTTGCTCGGCTCTCTGTGCCCTGCAGTAGTGTGAGACGACGCCGTCCATCACAAGACCTTTCTATCACTGTGAGATTTTCGGTCTCAGCTGGGTAGTGTCTGTGTCCGTTCATGTTCTTGGTAGCTGACCGCTAAGAGTTGCCTCCGTGAGGTCTGCGAGGGCCTGTACGCATCGACAATATGGGAATGTGTGGGAAGTCCCCCTAACTGCGATATGCCGATGTGTCAAGCGCGGGATGGATCAGTGGTGAGCATTGGCATCGGCGCCAGTAAGAACCAGCGGTTGAGGGACACGGTCTCAGAAGAGCGGGAAGACTCCCGGATGAGGCCCGAGATGCATGATCACTCCTTAGCTCGCAAGCCACATGGACTCTGATCCTCATCTTGCTAGCATAGACGTGCGGGGGATTTTCGAGATCCTCGGTCTTGGTCTTCTAGTGCTCATGATTGTTATTTTCGCGCTTTGGTGGCTAATTAGCACCCCCTGATGCGCCCCCCTGAGCTGTGAGATGACGGTGGTTGGCGCGAGATAATACACATGTTCACGCGCGCCAGTGATGATGGGGAGCATCCATTAGCGTCAACAACTAGTAGCTGTCAATATGCTTCTAGTTCTGGTTATGAGGAATCCTGAAAACCCGTCGAAACTGTAAAGGCGACGGTCTACGCATAGGTAAGGTAATTAGTCGACACGAGAGAAACGAGAGACACGAGGCGCCACAAGGCCAACTGAGCCTACTACCGAGCCCACAACAGCCTGCGGGATCTGATGGGCAATGCAGTCCCACACCCGCATACCTATCTCGCTATCGCAGACACATCCGCTAAAAGCTAAAGTTTTCGGGTACGAGGTTCTCAGTCCTAACGAGGTCCTAACAGGAGCCCGAAGGCTGACTGAAGAAGGGGAACATAGAAGAGATTGGGCCACCGGGGCGGACAAGACCTTTCGTCCGAGGAAACGAGATCCAGTGGACTCTCTATTACGTCAAGATTTTGTTACACGCTCCATTGCTGAAGCGCTGAAGTTTATCACACTCCCGTCGGGTAGCGGGACGCGATGACAAAATAATAAGGCCATCGCCCACTTCACGAGCAGGCGGGAAAAAGGGTTCGTTCATAAGCCTCGGAACACTCAGGGCTTCCAGACCCTGACTTCCCTGTTTGACGCGGCGCGGCGGTCCCATGGTTCACAGACCGCCTTGGGGGTGAGCTTCAAAGCTTCGGGACAAACTCCAAGAAGGGAGAACGGGCCAGTCCGCCGTTCCGTTTGGCGTACTTTTGGCAAAGTATAAAAATTTCTAGTCGTCGTAGCAGTCGAAGAAGAGACTTTGGCGGAAGTTAAGAAGGGTAAAAGTACCCAAGATGAAAATGCTGGTCGGGGAACGGCGGCCCGAGCTAATGTAGTTCGAAAGCATTGCGATTCAAGGGGCACGTTTTAGCCGCTTTAGCGCAGGGCGTTGGCACAAACCTGGAACCCGCTAGCTGACACGAACTCTGCGAGCCAGTGAATGTGAGCTAGAGACAGACGGCTAGAAGGACGGACAGAGGGGACAGGACACATGGTTGGGTTTATGGAGGACTGGAATGTAGCGAGGATCAACAAGCGGTGCTCATCTACCGGTGGCATATGGGCTAAATGTCACCACTAAACGCGCTCGGAATGGCCCCATCCTTTCCGAGCCTACCTATTTGCCTACCTCCTACGGTTTACCTATGTGCCTCCCTCTCTCCCTTCTCTCGGACAGCGACTCACTTGATTCAGAGCTTGATTCAGTCGACTCAGTCGCGGAGAAGAGAAGGGAGAAAAGAATGTTGTCAGAGTCTCGGATGCTGCGGCGGCTGACTGGTCAATCTGACTTCGGATGTTTTAACCAAATAGGATTAGG